AAAAGCAACTGCAGGAAGTTGTAAGCAGCATCAAGTCACAGACATTGGGGAGGAAGGAAGGGAAGAGCAAGAAAATGAGGTGGAGGAAGAATAAACGGACGTGAATTGCCCAGCCAGACAGCAGCTGACAGGATCCACAGGGTGACTGAGTTAGGCATAACTGCATATTCTTTGGGAAGCAATTCTGAAACGTTTCATCACAGGGAGCTGCACCTCAGCAAGGAATACACCAGAGCAGGATGGCCAGCACTCCTCCCTTCCCTGAAACTGGGCTGTGTGCAAATAACCCAATTAGCACAGAGGTAAACAGTTTGGAGGCTGCTCTGTGGGATGCCAAGGTGACATGCTGAGAGATTACAGAGCTCTGCTGTCACTAGCAACAGTTTCTGCTTTGGAGATTAAATACCCATTTTCTTCCTGGCTGCCCAGCTCTCACCTGTTGCCACTCCAGTGACCACAGTTTACAAACTAGAATAAAATAAGCCTGGTGGGATCTGTTAACGACTTACACCCCACTTTTGGCTCTGAACCTCCCTGACCCTCAGATCAACTAGAAAAACCTACTGGCGTGCATCTTTATCCACTCACTCTGCTCTACTGTTAGGGGCCACTGCGGGAGGACTTGGGATTCTGGCACCGACCCTGCAAAGCCCATTTGATGCTTTTATCAGCCCTGGAGTGGAATCCCATGTCTCTCCAGCTTCTCCCTCAAACTCAATACCTGAGCTAATGCACCCTGTGCAACTTGGTAGATCATGCTTTTAAATCAGCAAGGCATTCATTTAAGTAGGAGGGAAAGAGAGGTCTCAAAATGACTTCAGGAGAACCATTCCATGCACCGGCAGCCTGGAACATCCAGAAGCCAGCTAGAAAGACCGTGCTCAGAAATACTCCTCAGAAAGCCTTGGCTCATCCTAATAGCAATTTTACCTTACTATTATTCCTGTTAAGGGATTTTGATGATGTTTGGTTGGAAGTTGTTTGATTTTCCTTTATAAGTTTCCAGGCTCAGTTCAGAAGGACTTGAGCCAAGAAGCTTCAAGCTCAAAACCAATAGCTCAGTCAATTGTCTTGGCATCAAAGGATGTATCAGGGAACGTTTATCTTCTCCCCTTTGAAATTTCCATTCTGTCTACTGTAGTTTTATTCAAACCAAGCATTCTTCTAAAGCAGGACTACAACTACTAGTAGTCATAAACTGGAAGAAAACATTAGGAAACGTGCTAAGAAAGGGTTTGACTCCCACCTCTTCACAGGCACATGGGTCAGCTGTGCCCTGTCACCTGCCCTGACTCTTACCTGATTCCTGACCAGGAGGCCCAGCATCACTAAAACTTTCCTTCCTTGCTGGAAATTCTGCCTGAGAAAGAAGGAGATTTTGTTATTGCCAAGGAAATCCCAAAGCTTGTGGCAGCCACCACGTCCTGCCTGCCCCTCCGTGTTGAGCTCACCCAGCCAACACAAAGCTAACTCAAGAAGAAAAGCTGCAGCCTATTCTGTATTTCCTGGCTCCTCAGTGTTCCCTGAGAACAAAGCTGAAAACAAGCAGGAAACTACCAAGCCCTATACAAATAAAGTCAGGGATATGACAGATAAATTTCCTGCTCCTGTTTATGCATGAAAGCTTATTGCCTGGGTGTTCAAGGTCATTCCCTCCCTTGAAAGTTGTGCAGGAAGTGCAGCATCCTGGGCACAGCAGCATTGGAGAAACCTGCCCTAAGCAGCATTCACAGCTGGTGTGTCACTGGAGCTGTGGGGGCAAAGCACACATCCCACACTGGATCTAGGTGCAGGGAGGACAGTGTTCCCCCAGCTCAGCACACGTGTGCACGACAAGCAGAATTCCTTTAGCAGCAGAGCCCTGCAAGTAGTGGACACTCAGAGCCTGTTTGGACTGGGAGAAACAAGATGTCTTCTGAGATATGGGAGAGCCACGTGGGAGGGCGAGTGGAATTCAGAGCTGGTTGTATTAAAGCCAGAAAAGCTGAAGAGCTCCAAACTTTGCAGGTTTAATATCTGATCCAACAAACCACCCCAACACCACGTCCACACAGAAACGCTGAATACCTCAAATGTGCATTTCTGCTCCTGGAAGGGATCTTGCTGTGTTCACTTCACACGTGGGAAGACTCCAGCATCATTGTGAAAGCAGACGAGGTGAAGTTGGGCATCACACGGTATGGGGGATAGCACAAGTCTGGGAGATTCTGTTTTGTCTCCATTTCACCTTCCTGCTGGAAAATTATCCTCCCACAACAGCACTTGGATCCCCACAGGGACAGTCAGCTCAGGATTGTGTTAGGCAAACAGAAACAAGGCAGGTGGTGGAAAAGCCATCAAGGTGGCCAAAGCAGGGCCAAAGAAGGGCACATATGGTAAAGAGCTTAGATCCCAACCCCTGCATGTGTGTGTGACACTCCTGCATTGATGGTCAAGCATCGGAACAAATAACAAGATTACCAAAACATGGGAGTATCAACAGCTGCTACTGTTATTGCTGAAAACTCCCACTGTTACTGCTTCCCCTTGTCAGTTCCATTAGAAGCAAAGAGGGAACTGAAGCAGGCATTTCTTTGAAGTCAGAAGCAAAAAGTCCCTAAGAAAAGAACCTACGTCAGGAACCATGGCCTGACCTCCACCCTTCCTAATGGGTCAGCCAAATGTTTTCAGCAAACACCTTCCATCTGCTCCTGCAGCACAGTCGGGATGATGCTCAGGCCACAGACGCTTGGCTGATGAACAGCATGTGACAAAGGTTAGGTACACAAGCAGGATGCAGACGTGCTGAGCCCCAGCAAAGTGGATGCACCTCTAACCCAAGCACAGATGTGGTGATGAGAGGTGGTACAGCAGGGAAGGTGTCAGAGCAGTGACATTAAGGCAGGACTCCAGAGATAGCACGTTGCAATTTGCTCCCAAAAAAAACAGAATTTGTTGTGCTCCAACCACTGGCAATTCAGTGTCTGAACTAAACTGCTTTCTAAGAGACGAATGCCAGCATTCTGCACACTTATTCCAGCTCTTTTTTGATACCTGTCTTTGAATGCAGGCCCCACCAGTGGCTATTAAGAGCCAGGACAGGTTCAGACAAGAGGCTGAGCTTTCCCTGCACACCCCACAGCTTTCATCTCAGAGCAAGGAGGCAGGAGGTGCTCGGCAATTACAGCAGCCGGGAAGGCAGCGCTCACCTGGCTGCTGTGCAGCTGGTCTCCTCCAAGAGCCTCCTGCATCAAAGTTTCCCTTCCTCCTCCTCCATCAGCAGCGCTGCAGGGACCAGGCAGAGCCTCTCCCCCCTTCCCCACAGCTCTAAATTTGCCTGCTTGCTGAACACGTCTATTCTAGGCAAAGACAGGCGAGATGAGGGAAGCGAAGCGCACGCATCAATCGTGTCGAGAACAACATCAGTGCCAAGTTCTTTCTCTGCTATAGCTGCTTCAAAGAACGTGTCTGATGTGGTGCTACTCTAAGCCAAGTTACTTAATTTGTGAAAGAAAAAGAAATTCTCTCCACGGAAAGCAACCAGCTCTCTGAGAACACGGGGAGAAGTAGAAATAGCCCACGTAATGGGGAAAAAGAAATATTTAAGACAACACATTAGTCAAAGAGATCAAATCTTTAGAGCAAGGAAAGACAAAAGAAAGACCATCTGGGGACACCGATAGCCCCAAGCTGTTCCCAGTCTGAGCTGAGACTTGACAGGGCACAGGCAAGCAGTCCCAAAGCAAACTCTATGCAGGTCTGGGGGAGCTTTGTGGCTCCCAGCTCCAGCATCACCACGACATCTGTGATACAGCTAATCCTCAGCCTTGGGAGGATTGAGAGCTGACAGCAGGGCTTGTCTCTGCAGCAGAAAAGGGAGGGAGGGTGCTCTGCATATGCTACCCATTCCTAGCAAAGTAAGGAATGAAGGCAGGAGGGATGGGAATGAAGTAACCAGTTTCTGTATGTGTAAAATGACAGTCATCATCTGGAATGGGTTTCCAAAACGTAGGCAGTAACCAGGAAGGGTGTATCAAGTTAACAGAGCCACGAGGTGTCTGATACTCATCAAATCTTATCCCCTGCATATTGAAAAATAAAAACAGTCTCTCTTCTCCTGGGAGCTGTAATCCTCCAGACAGGATTAAACTCTAGCAGTCAATAAGCCATCCTGGCCAGAACAATCCAGCATTTGCTGTGGGATAGCTGAGATCATATCAGCAGACAACAGTTGTGCTTTGAAAGGAATTAGAGGGGAACACAGGTAGCCTGAAGGTAAGGGACCATTTTCTGCTCTGAGCTTCCCTAGTGTCACATGGTGGCATTTCAGGCAAACCAGCTCCCAGTTTCACGCTCTGTCAGTCTTGATGGTATATTCAGAGTGAAGTCAGGTCTCCCTCTGTCTCCAATTTGTCTCAGAGCTCCCATCTAATTACAGCGTGCGTTTGATTGCCTTTGTAGGCAGCTCCTGAGAACTTCAAAAATGGCACCCAGAATTAGAAGACACCTTGGAGAAATATTCACTGCCACCCAACAAACCAGCCCCACTGTGTCAGAAACAACGTGCCTCTCCCATTGAGTCACTGGCAGTACCCTGCAATCCTCAGCACCTGCCTCGACCCTGCCATATTTCTGCTGTCACCTTGTGGTGGCCATGAACTCCTGCACCTTTGCTCTTGCAGCACTGCACCAGCTTTGCCCAAGACAAATGAATACAGAAACATTGTTGCTGAAAAGGAGACTTGATGCTCTTTGGGCCACCTTCTCAGCAAGCACCTATAGCACAATGAGTTCTTTATAGGCCTAACTAAAGGAGGAAGACTGGGCAGATCAGCTGTGGTCTTCTGGCAGCTCATGGACATAGTCAGCATCTTGTTCTGGAAGAGGAGTGCCCTCTGCTGAAATAACAGTCCTACAACAGGCAGACCACATTGTCCAGGTTCCACAACCCAGTAAGCGTGCCCTGCCTTGCAGATTTAGAATTTAAGGCAGCACGGATCACTACCCAAACAACAGGCAAGTGAATACAGTCCATTTAATACAGTCAAACACAGGGAGGGACCACAAGAGGAAAAGGAGATAGCCTGAGGCATGGCAGGTGGGCAGGAACGAAACAGCAGGCAACAGTACAGAACGTCACCAGATCTAAGACTGCAGAACCGTGCTGCATCTTCCCAGCACACAAGAGCTGCATTTTTCTCTGCGCTGAACAAAGCTCTGAGGTCTCAATAATGGTGGTCAGAATGGGGAGAAGGCTGGAAAGAGATCACAGGAGCTGGAGGAACTGTCCTCAGCTTGCTCCATGCTCTCCAACCCACCTGCACGGATAGAAGCAGCCACCTCAGCTGCTCCATTCCCCACAGAGCTTTGGGCTGGAGTCCCAGACTGAGGAATGTCAGTGCCATACAGTGGTCCAGGCCCTCCTGCCCAGAGCTAGAGAGCCCCACCAGCAAAGATGAGCTCCAAGGCAGCCTGAATGTCCCCTCCAGTAGCCTGCAGAGCCCGGAGACTCAGCTCATCATCGTGTATGCCCATGTCTCGCAGTTGCTGAAGCTGTGGCTGCCACTGGCTCTACAGACAGGAAACAAAAGAAGCAAAGGGTAGGTGCGAGAGTCCAAGCAGTAAAAAACCAGCCTTCTCCAAAGCCCACTCCACCATGCTGGTTCATCCCATCCCTCTAGCTCACAAGCACAATTCCAAACATGCAGAAAGGTCTTAAAAGTTTTAAGTCTTGCTGGTAATACCCTAAACCCACCAGCCCATCTCTCCCACTTCCACCCAGTCCTTCTGCAAACGTCTATCCTGCCACCTAAATAAAGCTCTTCACCAGTGACCCTTCTTCCAACTTAAAACCCTGCCACAGGTGACAGCTGGAAGAGCCACCTCTACCCCGCAGTGCTGAGTGTGATAAAGAGCTCAAAAGAAAAGGCTGAGACACTGACCTGCAGACTGGGCTGCCCTGAGGCCTGCAGGGCGTGCTGCAAGGCCTGGCTGAAGAGGTCATTGGTGATGGGTGTTCCTGACTGGACACTGGATGACATAGGGGAAGTCCCAGAGGAATGACCCTAGTGAGAGACAAGTTGCATAGAGCTCAGAAGAGCACTGGCTGCAGGAACCTGGGTCCACATAGGGCTTGCACTCAGTCAAGTGCTGGCTTTAGAGGGCAGGAGGACACCCGCAGCTGGTGCTGTACCTGGGTACCAGGGGTTGGTGTGTGGGAACTGCTCTCTGGGGTGCTGGCCAGTGCCAGTGCAGTTGCCAGCTCACTCTGGGTGATGGGCCGTGGTCCAGCAGCCCCAGAGTAACCAAGGGAAGCTGGGCGGGAACCAGAAGTGCTGCTGGATGGTGTTGATCTTGTGCTCTGCGTGGACAAAACAGACCTCTGGTGTCAGTGGCCACGTCCCATTAACACCTGGCTCGTGTGCTTATCGCTAGGGATCCCTTCCCTGCAGTTCTTGAAAGTCAAACATCAAGTTTTTAAGAAGAACCATCTGGCAATTGGAGGAGTGCCCTCTGTTGAAATAACACAACATCACTTGTGCACAACTCTGGTTCTGCAGCAGCTTGAATACAAAAGGTGTTTACGCTGATGGCAAGTGCTACTGAGTTGTGCTTCTCTCTTCTGTTGTGACTCTATGTCAGCACTCCAAAATCCTAACATGCAGAGCACTCAAGCCTACCACAATTATTAATACAGCATCTTAATGAACTCCCAGTCAGCCACAGATCACGCTGCTGATGAGAATATACAGAAAACCTTTAGAGACTTTAAGAGCTATAACGTTAAAACCATTACCACAAATCCACAATAGTTGTTCCAGCCAATCCAGCCTGTGAATTACCTGGTGAAAGTCATCTTCATCGTCAGAGAGACCTTCAAACAGAAAACCACCTGCAATAGAAAGAAGACTCAACAGATGCTGGCAGGAATTGGGCACCAGATGAGAATCCACTGGAGGCTTTGGTCACACAGCCAAGCTCAGCACTAACAAGTTCACTTGCAGCAGGTCAATGGAAGGCAGTTCAGGCCCATCACTCGTGCAGAACAGGGGCCACAGCAATCTGCTACCAACAGCGGTGATACACACACAGCCAGGAGAGGCCCTGAGGTTGAACTGCACCAGACAAACCTCTCTCAATACGATCTGTCAAACCACAAAGCACGTTCCAAGCTCAGGTACCCAGACCTCTTTTGTTTCTCAGCCCTGCATCAGTAAAATACCGATTGATCCGTAACGGATCCTGCAGCACATCATTTCTGCAGCTCCCTCCCACATCTGATAGCCACAGGCTGCACGTACCCGGCATGTCACGGTAGGAGCCAGAGGACATGGCACGGGAGGACGTCTCTGGGGCTGGGAGTGGGGTGCTGCCTGCCACTGAGTGCAGGACGAGGACAATGGCATTCACGAGTGCGGGGTGAGCCGGTATTAACCTGGAGAGACAGGGTGGAAGAACAAATCGTGTGCATACAGAAACCAAGGAAGTTACAGCAGGAATGGCAGAGCCATCCCCACTAGCTGAGCCAACACCATCTCCATACAGCCTTTAGCTATCCAATAACACCTCCTCACAGAGCCAGACAAGCCAGGATCCTCCTCGATCCCACGTTGGCCCCCTACTGTACACATCTCCCACATGCTCTCACAGAGCAACTCCCTGCTGGGAGCTACCAGATCTAGAGGTGAGGACGAGCCTGCTTCCACCGTGTCAACAGATGCTTACCAAAGCATCTGCTGCTAAGAACAGAGAACAGTCCTTCCCCACATCTCTGTCTTGGTGTACCTGTACTGGCAGAAAGCAGCAGAACGCTTTTTCCCACCCAGAGGGAAGTGACCTAAACAGGATTACAACAAAGGAGCTGCTTAGTCACCGTGCCAGCTTACACAAACTTACGTGTCCAACATGCTGGGGTCTGCAAACACTGAGAAGAGATCCTTGTCCTGCAGGACGCCTGGGAGAGACCAGGAAACATGACCAGTAAGAGATGGGATACAAGACACGCAGGAGCCAGTCCAACCATGGGAAAGAAAGCCAATTAGTTGTTTTTCAGGAAATGAGTCATGAAAAGACACCAGAAATACTCTATTATTGTTCTCAGAAACCTTTTGTGCCTTCTTAGACAGACTAAATCACAGCCACACCCCCGGGACGCAGGGCTTTCCCAGCAGATCCCACAGGCTGTGCTTCAATGCAGACAGCTCTACTTTAAGGCAGGATCAAGCCTGCCACCCAGCTCACCCCAGATGGCTGCATGAGATTGCAATCGCACCCCACGTCAGGAACGCTTTCTGAAAAGGTTCAGTGTTCAACCTGAAATATTTGTTTTACTTTAAAGCCATCCTTATCCGGCTTTCTCCAGACCTTCTGAGTCACACCTGGACTCACCCAAAGCGACTGGGTCACTGCTGAGGCCAGGAGTAGCAACTATGATCTGATCCAACGACTCCTTGTTCCCCAGCATTTTGAACACCTGCCAGAGAAATCAGAATCGATCAGCAGCGTCGCATGGCAGGGTTTCACTAAGGGCCTTTCTTTAGAAAAGGGGGTCAGACAGAAGACACCAAGGAGGTGATGTACAAAGTCCCACTCACTGCATCTCTGTAAGCAGGGCTGCTGTGCAGGGCTGTGTGAAGGACACGGAACTCCCGTATTGCTGCCACCTTGTCCACTGGCTCTGAGGGAAGAAAAACAGCAGTTCAAAACATGGCTCTCCCTCTGTCAGCTTCACAAGCCATTTTACACCCTCCTTGGACTTCCCAGCTGCAATAGCAGCAGTGATTCTTTAATTCTCCTGAGTTCAATTGGTCTGGGAAGGAAGGATACGGATCACAACTGTTCCAGAGCTGTTACCACAGCTTCACAAGCCCACCAAGGGCTGCAGCCACATTCCCACCTTCCAGGCACAGAAAAATAAATATTTCGTACGTGTATAAAATTAAATGCACTGAAATAATTCTAAACTGGCCATTTTTACTCTACAGTCAGACACCCACAAGCTCTAGCTGTACTAATGAGACATTTGGCTTCTGATTCTCTAGCAACGCTAAGATTGGTCAGAGCTACTTAAGAAGGGATATTCAGCTTGCAGTTGGACTTGATGATCATTAATGCCTTTTCCAACCTGAGCAATTCTATGATTCATTCCACACTTCTGCCATCAGCAAGGTAAAAGTAATCCCGTTCACCACTTTGAGTGGTGGAGTGCAAACAAACAGATCAGTTCCACCTCCAAACCCCATGCCATTCTCCTAGAAACATGTCACAGAGAACAGCAGCTCCTCACACCCAAGGTAACCTTCACCAACTCCTCCCCACCTGGTTTCTGATCAGGCTCAGGCCAGGACTTGCGTAGGACATGGACAGTGGAGCCTGACTGGATGCCATAAAATTCAAGCGTCTGGTCATCCCTCAGCTTACGGCCACAGTAGATCAGATCTATGGAAAAGACAAAGACATACAGGCACACCCAGGAAGGGTCTGTGGTCCTTCAGAAGTGAGGACTGGAGATATCGCCCTGCCTGTATCTGGGTCGGCAGCACAGGAAAACCCCAGGGCAAAGATTCACAGAGCTTCGGTTTGCTCCCTCCCTCAGTAGAGCTGCAGGAAGGCAGGAGCTGGCCACGACCTGTGCACCTACCGATGAGCTCGGGGTCCGGGACGGACTCCTGCAGCTTGCCGGTGATCAGCTGCTTGAGGTGGGAGATGCTGCACCCGCCCAGGGGACACTCCCCGAGCTCCGTCTCAGGTAAGCGTAAGATGGATTTGGGAGCCAGCGGCTGGTCCGCCAGCTTCACCGCGATGTGCCACTCGGACACGGCCATCTCCGGTCACAGAACCGACCTCAGGACCACGGAGGACCGGAAAGGGAGGAAAACAACGCGTGGTGACACAGCCTTCAGGCCGCCTTAAGAACCGCAGGCCCCGCTCTCGCACTGGGAGCCCCGAGCCGCGTAAGACGACGTTCTCCAGGCTCCCAGCCGAGCGCTCAGCCCCTCACGCGCACACCTGAAGCCGCGCAGAGGCGGCCGCCACGTCTCACCGGGAGCAGAAGCGGGACGCGGCCGGCTCCCCCGGTCAGGCCTCCCCTCTGCGTCGGTCTTCCGGCGTCACGCCGGAAACGGAAGTGCGACCACAAGCGCGGTGCGCATTGGGAAATGCAGTCCGCTCTGTGTGGGAAAAGAGAAAGCCACCGATTGGCCGGCTTGCCGATGAGGTGGCACAACGAGCCAATGGACGGCCGGCTAAGGGTTTAAAGGAGGGAGCGCGCCAGCGCGGGCTCACTCACGGGCGGTGAGAGGGCAGGAGTGTGGCGGTGCGCAGTCGCTGCTTGGCGAAAGGAGGGCTGCCCAGCGAAGAACTAGAGGCTGCGGGGCTCGCGGCAGCGCTGGGCCCCTAGCAAGCCTCCCCGCAGCTCAACAGCCCATGGAGACGCATCTCCTTCAATTCCCCTATGAACAGCTGCAAGCGCATGACCTTTTACCACTGCAACCAGAGGCTGCTGCCCTTCCCCCAGCTCTTCCTATCGAGGCAGAGATCAGTAGGACAGCATAAATTTGCTACAGGAAGATGGACCCCCTTCCCTAAGCTGAGCAAGCTCTGGGAATACTTGCTGCCGCATCTTGTCACTCTCTCCCAAAAAAGGAGAGGCTCCTCTCATCACCAAACCTGTGCCAGCACACTAACTTTTCTAGTAGGAAGAGGTTCTAAATAAAGTCAAGTTACCATGAAAGTACAGAAGGGCTGCAAGAGCTGCATACCAGTCAAGTTTTTCTCCCTAACAGTGCTTAAAATGGTCTGCATGCAGCCGGTTCATAGTGACACTGCACAGTTTGCAGTGGGTCACCCAAAGTTTGTTTCGTTAAGTTGCAAACTCCTAAGCAGACAGTTGGAATCCAGGACTGACTCTAAGCCCTCATACCACACAATCCTTGAAGCATACCCGCCCTGAAAGAAAGCAAGAAAGACTCTTACACTTTTAAGCCTAAGTTTATTTGTTCTCCTATAAACGAGTCAGATGTGACAAACCTAAAGGTGACAAACCTACTTTAGTGTCATCCTGTTAGCATTACATAGGAAATGTGAACAACTCATCTACTTTCTGCCCCAGGACCACAGCCAACAGGCTGCCATTTCTCTCCACTAAAAAGCTAGTCATGAACTGGTCCAAACTGGAGCAAGGCCATTAAAATGCACACCGTATGCTACTACTCAGTACCCCCACAAATTAGAACGTAAAATAAGTAACAGTCAAACAATACTGGTCCAAGCTGAAGGGAGAGCTCCCAAGGACAAGCCTGCAACACCTCCTCCCATGCCTGCCCCACTGTGGGGACACCCCAGGTGACTGCCAGCAGCCCCTCTAGAAGCACTTGCGATGGACGATGGAGGGGCCAGACTCATCATACTCCTGCTTGCTGATCCACATTTGCTGGAAGGTAGAGAGGGAGGCCAGGATGGAGCCACCGATCCAGACAGAATATTTGCGCTCCGGTGGGGCAATGATCTTGATCTTCATGGTGCTGGGTGCTAGAGCTGTGATCTCCTTCTGCATCCTGTCAGCAATGCCAGGGTACATGGTGGTACCCCCAGACAGCACGGTGTTGGCATACAGGTCCTTCCTGATGTCCACATCACACTTCATGATGGAGTTGAAGGTGGTCTCGTGGATGCCGCAGGACTCCATGCCCAGGAAAGAAGGTTGGAAGATGGCTTCAGGGCATCGGAAGCGCTCATTCCCAATGGTGATCACCTGCCCATCCGGCAGCTCATAGCTTTTCTCCAGGGAGGAGGATGAGGCAGCTGTTGCCATCTCCTGCTCAAAGTCTAGAGCAACGTAGCACAGCTTCTCCTTGATATCACGGACGATCTCCCTCTCAGCTGTGGTGGTGAAGCTATAACCTCGCTCTGTCAGGATCTTCATGAGGTAGTCAGTCAGGTCACGGCCAGCCAAGTCCAGACGCAGGATGGCATGGGGCAGAGCGTAACCCTCGTAGATGGGCACTGTGTGGGTGACACCATCCCCAGAGTCCATAACAATGCCGGTGGTGCGACCAGAGGCGTAAAGAGACAGCACAGCCTGGATGGCCACATACATAGCTGGAGTGTTGAAGGTCTCAAACATGATCTGGGTCATCTTCTCCCGGTTGGCTTTAGGGTTCAGTGGGGCCTCAGTGAGCAGGACAGGGTGCTCCTCTGGAGCAACACGCAACTCGTTGTAGAAGGTGTGATGCCAGATCTTCTCCATGTCATCCCAGTTGGTAACAATGCCATGCTCAATAGGGTACTTCAGGGTGAGGATGCCCCTCTTGCTCTGGGCTTCATCTCCCACATAGCTGTCCTTCTGCCCCATACCCACCATGACACCTTGATGCCGGGGACGTCCCACAATGGAAGGGAACACAGCCCGGGGGGCATCATCCCCTGCAAAGCCTGCCTTGCACATACCAGAGCCATTGTCCACCACCAGGGCAGCAATTTCCTCATCTGCCATGACTGAGCCTGGGGTGAGAGAGGACAAAGAAAAGATCACACTGAGCAACGGGCCACCAAGGGGCCAGACACTCATCCTCATGCACTGCAAATTCACAAAGAGATGATACATTAAAGAACCCCCAGAAGGATGAGAAAAAAAGAAATAGCACACAGCCCTAGCAGTTAAACATCCTTTTCCTCCAAGAAATGGACGCCAAGGGCTGCAGGCCCACCGGCTCCTCCTCCCCCCTCCCCTCAGGGATGCGAGGCAGCCCCTCCATACACGCAGCCCCTCCCTCCCGCACCCGAAGGAACAAAGGCCGACCCGAGCACAGAGCATCCTCCCTCACAGCGCCAAAGGGAAAAGGAGCGAAGAGAGCAGCAAAAACACAAAGAACAACGCAAAGGCCCAGCATCCCTTCAGCCCTCACCTGCACCACAACACGACCCGAACGCTGGCTCACCCGCAAATGCCTGGCCCCACCCCGCGCTCCCTCTGTTATATCCCCGGAACCGGAAGCGGCTGCTTACTTCGCCATCTCATTGGCTAGCGTTCTCCCTTCGCTCCCACCTCTTTCTCTCTACTTCCGGCTGCGCCCTTCCTTTCTGCTCCAGGGCCTGTACCCGGAAGTGAGGCGAGCGCTTCCGTTTCTGGGCACCACCCCCCTGCGCGCCGTTTCCGGCCGGGCTGAGGCGGGGCGGCCCGGGGCGGGCAGCGGCTGAGCTGCGCTGCGCTGCGGGCAGAGCCGAGGCTGCCGCGCAAATCGGGCCGGCAGCCACCGCGCCCGGGGTCTAACACAGGTAACGGTCCCGAGCCTCTCCGGGAGATTGGGAATGTCCTGAGGCGGGAGGAGGACGGTTACGGCCGTTCTGAGGCCGGTAAGGGGGGTACGGAGGTGAGGGGCAGCGGCCGTTGGGCTCTGGAGGGCTCCGGGTGGCTCGCAGCCGGCTGTGGGGCCGCTCGGTCCCGGTTTGGGAGGGTCGGATCCGGGGTTTAGGGTGCCCGGGACTCGTCGTCGTCGCCGCCCCAGCTTTGTTGGGAGAGATCCGTCGGAACGGCCCGCGGGCAGGTCCCTCTGATGAGGGGCTGTGATTAAAGAGTTCCGAGCCCCCACAAAGGGCGGCGTGTCGGGGCCTGAGAGTCACACACCCCCACCTCGGCCCGCGGAGGGCCGGGAAGTCGGCAAATAGCCGCAAATGGGGCGTGAAAGCTCGCGGTGCTGCCACGCCACAGCCCTCCCCGGCTTCCTCCCCATTATTTATTTCCAGACCCGCGTCTCCCTCTCGGCTTAAAGCTGCCCGCTTTCCCCCGGTCACTTAGCTGCTTGCTTAGGGCGTGTTTTCTCATCCAGACTCCAGCTCCCGCGGTTGGTGCAGGGTTCCGAGCCCTCATTTCTGCATAAATCTTGCTACAACCTGTCACAGGTCGGGGACTCGCAGGGCGGCCGCATACCAGGGCGTGCTGCACCCGAGCTGTGTTTGCTCGCCCAGGATCGGCTCACTCGTTACCGTGAGGCACCCGGGCTGCACCCCCTTTATGGTTCCTCTTGCAACACGTGCCTGGTTGCTTTGCTGGAAACGAGCGTGGGGTTGGGCCAGGTGCTGCATTGTGCCTGAGAAACCTGAGGTTGCATTCAGCTGCCAGGTAATGCGTTGTTGCTGCTAGCTGCTAATCCACTCTCTGTTGTTGCACTCGCAAGCTGTCGTGTTGTGAGTGAGATACAAAAGACACATCAGGGAGGTTTTTCGTGCTGATGACAAGTTGCTGGGTAGCACGGGGAAGAAGGACTTCAACAATGAAGCACTTTGCACGAGAAGATCACTCAGAGCATCTGGGAGAAGCCTTGAAGTTACTGAACGGAGGCTGAAAGCTTCCCCTTCTAAATAGGCATCTGCTGGGGTATTTGCATTCAGGAAGAAATACACGCATTCTAAAAATGGATGTTAGCAGAGCAGTTGCTTTTTCGTGTGCTTGGTTTGGGTTGGCTTGACGTGCTGGTTGTAAACAGTGCGGGGGGGAGGTGGTGGCCAGGAGGCTCCCTGGCTTGTTTGTGGTTTGCCTGCCTTTGTTTCTCCCACCCGGCTGTATTTTGATACCCATGAACCTTGAAGGGCAGCGAGGGAGATCTGCTTGAGCATCTTCTTACATTAAAAAAAAGCAGAAGCTAAGCAAGACCGTCTTTGTCAGCAGGTCCTGCAGGCGTGGGCTGCTCCCAGTGTTTGGTGATAAAGGCGTAGTCATCTTGTTGGGAGCTGTAGAGCAGAGCTGCGCTGCTCCCTGGCCTGCGTTTTGGTGCTGTTTGCCCAGGAGCAGCCTGGTGCTGCTTCACAACAGGGATCTGGGAGTGCTTTGGGGTCCTTTGGCTCAGAAAATCAAAGGGAAACCACCGGCAGGACTCAACTGGCAGCTCTGTAACTGTGGGCAGGAGCTGCTCTGTGCCTCGCTGTGTTTCAGGCTGCAGCGATCTCTCCTTCGCTCTTGTCTCGCTCTCCTTGGGAAAAGCAGTGGCTAAAAATAGTGTTTAAGACATCAGAAGCGTTGAGAACGTGGTTGAGTCGTGAAATAAAGGAATTTAGGGATGAGTGGTATGCAGTGGGCTTGCACGTTTCTTAATAGAAATATGGTCAAGATTATCACCACGGTTATCTCCTTTTAAGGTAGTGTTTTCAGAAGAAGCAAACCCTACAGTTAAACCCAGTATTTCAAAAGTCATAGCTTAGCACGGGAGGATTCTGACAGTAAACGGGCTCCCAGGATGGGGATGAGGCACTTTCAGATGCTGTCTTTGGGGTATACGAAAGTGAGGTTATAGCAAATGTGTTCAGCTTGAAAATACAATTAAGCAGTCTGAAAATTGAATGCAAGTTGGAGCCTGAGGCTGTTAAACATGAAGCTGATTGTTTCACGGTCTCCTGCACAGGAAAGAGTATTGGCTTTGCACTCTATTTATCCTCTTCCCGGGGAAAAGATGAAAGCATTTTATATTCATACGGACAAATATTTGTCTATCTTTCAGATTCTGCCAATCTCCCAAGGTCGGGGCTTGAACCCATCCTGATAAAGCCAAAGCCACCCCCCTCTTTTCCCAGCCATGCAAACTGCGGGATGAAGCTGGAAGCTGTGGTCGAGCAGCTGCAAAAGCAGCAGCAGAAGCAGCAGGCTCCTCTGCAGATGGATTCCAGGGAGAGACAGCAGAGGCAGATGAGAGAAGCCCAGCTGCTCTACACACAGCAGCTGGCCGTGCAGCAGGCCGTGCTGGCGGCCACATCTGGCAGGGCAGCAGGCGGCTCTGCTGTCGGTCCCTTGGCCAGAGGCCCACCTGCAGCTGGGGCCACGCGGGCTTTCGATCAGAGCAGCATGAATTCGGAGCCGGAAGAGGAAGAAGAGGACGAGGAAGAGGTGGAAGATGAGGAGGAGGAGGAGGAAGCGGGGTTGGAAGGAGGAGATCTTGAGGATGGTGCTGATGTGACTGGAAAAGAATCCTGCTCTGCTCTGAAATATTTTCACGCTCCCAAAGTTGCCCACCACAACCAAAGAGTGGCCTCTACCTCGAATCCTCTTCCGGCCTCAGGGCACCAGAGGGGACAGCAGGGCAAAGAAGAACAGGGTAAGGACACTACTAAGCAGCCATATGCCGGCTCCCCGTCTGGACGCCAGAACTGGAGATTGGATGAGCAGCTCAAACAGGTCGGTGCCAACTTTCTTTCCTTCTGAATAAGGGTGGCTGTCTGCAGACTGAGCATTTCTGTAGCCCGGTGGCCCGTTGCAAGCGCTGGCTATTTGGAAATAGCCTTAGAAAAGAGGCAAGAACTGGGCATGTGTGGACTTCTGTGGTGTTCTCTTCCAGGTTTGCTCTCATAAAGAGAGATCTCAAGCACTCAGCTGGCTTTACAGACACAGATTTCTAGCTAACAGTAGATCAGCCTGAATCTGTTAGAACCTGTGTGGACAGGTGGAGGGAGGATTGTGATTTTTTTTCCCTCTCATTTATCTTCTATCTCACTGCTGCTGTGCCATTCAGAATGGGACTGGTGCTCTGTTTATTCTGGTGCAGATATTTGCCTGATGATCTCTCAATCTATTTCACCTACGCTTTGTTTCACCCCTTTGTGTAAGACCTGGCTGCGGTGACTTCAGCTGGGTTTCTGGCTAGTGTTGTGTTATGGGTAGCAAGAAAGAGATCAATAATTCTTTTCTTTGTTAGAAAAAAGGTATGTCAGTTAATACAGTGTTTGTGTGGTGTGTTTTTAACTTGCTCTGACTTCCAGAGACATTTGCAGTCTGTATTTGAAATTGAGCCACAGGAAAAAAATGGGATTTAACCCTCCTTCCTAGATACATGAGCCTGAGTGTGCACACAACTGAGTTTTGCTTCAAATCTGAGCTAAGAAACCTTGTATGGACAAAAAGGGATCTGTTTTTCTTCCATTCCCCTCTTGAAAATGCGGTGAAATATAGAGGCTGGAGCTGCTCACTGGTGGCTGTAAACGTTTGGATCACACACACGAGATTTGTTTTACTCTGCCATGGGCAGGGCTTTGAGGAGAAGCTGCTAAAGCCCTCCCCAAGCCTTGGTGCTTCTCCCACTCTGCTTGCTGCAGCCTGGAGGTTCCTGCCTAGCCGCTCCAAGCAACCGGTGTTTGGTTGCTGGTTCCAACATGGATGTGTGTGGCAGGTGAGGTGCACTGGGGCCTGCAAAGCATGCTGGCTGAGCCTTCCTGGTGCACAGGGTGCAGCGGGCACCCAGCTGCTGCCACATTTTCTTGAAGAGCTGCTCTGAAATAGGAGTTTGTAGGGAAATGAGGGCGGCGCGGCGCTCAGTTGCTGCAGAAACTGCCTCAGAATCTGCAGGATCGTAATGGCTGACAAAAGCTTCCTCTTTCTGGGCTCTGGGCGGAGAAGGGTGGGCAGGACTCTGGTTTTAAGGGATCAGGCTGAAAGATAAACTTGGGATTGGTTTGTGGCTGTTTTTACTGCTGGCGTGGTGGGTGCCGACAAGGACGTCGTTGTGCTTTGTCGCACTGCTCGCCCGTCTTGCGAGGGTCCTGAGAACTGTAGCGGATGGGCTTGGCTCCTAGCTTGCCTGCCCTGCTCAGGAAGACAAATGACTCTGTGCATGCTAGATCTGCCCTTAGCAGATGTGGAACAGCAAAACAATATTGTCTAAGCTGCCCTTATACAACTGATGCACTGTGAGCTGATAGCGATGCTTTGGCCCAGTTCTGTAGCATTTAAGCAACAGTGTTTTGGTAGTGGATTGCAGCTTGCATGGCTCTGATTTCAGGCCAGTTCATGTGAAAGCCAGCGTGCACAAAGGAAGCAAAACTTAAAATAACAGCACATCCTTCTGCTGGGGTCAGCAAGGCAAGTGCTCTCGGACCTGACTGATGTTCCTGAGGGCTGCGTTGAGGCTGGCAGCATTAATGATGCTGCTGAAGTATATTCACCTTGAGTAGGGTAAATATTGCAGATCAACTTGTTTGCATTCACCAGCGGAGCCTGCATACCAGGGAGTAAAAATTTAACTGCAGTATATGGGATCAGAGCGGGGGAGGGATGAGCGGGTAGGGGGGCTGCTGTGGCTGCAGGGGGGGGCAAAATGTGAACCCATCTGCAGATAGTCCATTAATTCTGCCTTGCTTCGGTGTTTTTTTGTTGCTTTTTTTTTGTATTTGAGATGTGTACATTAAAGACAGCGGGCTTTTTCTTTAGTCGTTGACTAAAATGGTTGACATGGGCAGAAAAAAACAAAGCACAGGAGTGCCTGCGCTCCTCACTTCGTTTTCCAAACGATTCCTGAATTGTTTTGTCAAGCTTGTGCTGAGGCTGAAGGCTAATGGCCGGTCAGTGTGTGCTGCTCCCAGCTGGACCTGCCCTGTTTGTGGTATGCTTAATGGCTGTTGCTTGCAGAGAAGTGAAAGTTGCTTCTGCTGCTGCTTCTAAGTGTGAATCGTTCTCCTAAAAGTCTCCATGTGTTGGAGAAGAGTGCATCTTGAAAGCATCAGGCTGAGACTGCCTGGAAGGTGTGAAAACAGCAGAGAAGTGGAAAGCAGCAGAGGGCTGAAGTCAGGCTCTATTCACTGTGGGACAGCCAAGTAAATAATTGTACAACAAGGCAGCAGACAAAAGAGCTGGCTCAGCTTATGACACAGGGGCGGTGGGAATCCCATCAGCACAAAACAGCGAGGGAGTGGAGCTGCTTGTTGGGGAGTTGCAGCCCGGAAAGGCGAGCAGGGGGTGTGCTCAGCTCCCTCCTCATCCAGCTCCAAGCCTGCACAGATCCACCTCCAGCCCTCCTCCAAAGGATGTTGTCTGTCCCCGAAGAAAAATGAGCTTTTAATTCCACGGGTGCAAATAGTGGTTGTAGCAGATGGTGGGGTGGGGGTCCTCATCCTGCAGGCTCTCGCATTGCTTGACAGTGGCTCTGGTTACCCTGGAGGCAGGACCAGCACCTCTGCCTCTATGCTGCTTGCTCCAACTCCTTTCTACCTGGGGCTGCGGCACTCGCACGGGTAATTTTGCAAGGCTGCTATTACAGCATGCACATCAGTACCCGCATTCCTTCATGGAATGTAAAAACAAAGCCGAGGTTTTCAGGCATCAGCTGATATTTCATGCCTTCCTAAGGTGCAGCCAGGTAAGTAGCTGCAGAGCCAGGCGCTGGCTTTCTGAGCAGCACGTTTCTTGTCGGGTTGGCTGGCGTTCGGGTTTCAGAACTCACCGGTCACTCCTGAAAATCCTGACCTAAACTTTTACAGAGGTCAGGGTGTTTATTAAGATAAGTCAGCTTAAAATAATTACTTGGCTTTTGCTCCAGGCTCTAGGAATGAGCGAGTGGCTGAGATTCCATAGCCTTAGCTATGCGCCTCAAGTGTTGCGCGGATCGAGGTCTTGCTCAGGAGATACTCATTAATCCAGAGGGGGTGAAGGTGCAGGAAGAGAACAGTTGAATCTCAGACAGTGTCCATCTTGCCTCTTTGATCTGGGATATCCAGGGCTGGATTTCTCATTGACGTGGGTCGCTCTGCTTTGCTATGGTGGAGCGGATGGAGTCCGCTTCAATAACAAACAACGTGAAACATTTGGTTTCTCAGCTGTTAAAAGCCAAATGTGTTCTTCCAGAAGATGGGTTTTGAAATTGTGGATTGCTGTTTCTCCTGCCGTGTGTTTTATAGGTTGGTTCTGCTGGAGTCTTCATCGCTGTGATAGTGGCTGCTGTTGTAGCTCACGGCGCGGCGTTGTTGCTGGAGCACAGCGAGGCTGTGGTTAAAGGAGGTGTATCTGTCACACCAAATAGCGTAAAGGAGGGCAGAACCAGGGAGCCATTTGTGGTAACGACTGCAGGAGCCAGGTTTTCAGCCAGTGACTGAAGATTGAAGTGAATTCCAGTGCTGTCACACAAAATGAGAGGTTCCTGTACGCTCCTGTACTCAGAATGAAAACGGAGCCATGGGCATAAATCAAGGAGGGAATGCATTTTCTATAGCCAGCCTTGAAAAGGACTCTCACGTGTCTGTTTGAAGTGCTGTAGATAAACAGCTGCTGGGCTCGTCCTGAGCCCGGGCTGAAGGTGCTGAGGTGTGGGGCTTTGGGGCTGGTTTTGTGGAGAGGTGGGCTGTGTTTGGGGGTGTTTCCTTTCTGTGTGGAAATCCAGGAGTCAGTTGCTGATCGTGCCAACTCAGGGGCAGAGACTTGAAAGAGGTGCAGAGTCTTGCTTAAATGGACAGGTAAGTGGGAAAGGGCACCTCATGCCTTCTCCATTCTTGGCAGCAGCAGATGAACAGCCTGCATGAGGCATCAGGGCATTGCCCCAAATCTTCATCACACAGGATGGTTTCAAGGCATTCATCAGGGCTGCAGTGCACGGCAGCAGCTGTGCTGTATCTGGCAGCAGAGTAAGGAGCTCATTTCTATCCTATTTGGCTCATTTTAGGATCCATTCAGGCACTAAATTTATCTTTAGGAATAGCTGAAGCTTGTCTCTTTCAGTGCCAATTTATAGATATCCTAGCTAGCACTGGAGCCAGTAGGTGGGATGAGTTCCAATGTGTTGTACTCCTGTTTTCTCACTTCAGGGCAAACCCGAGAATCTCTCGTGGCAGTGAGAATTTCTCTTCCCTTGGCCACGTAGCACTGAGCAGCTCTTCTTGCCGCTTAGGTTTTAGTTAATTCCTCCCAGTGTTTGTGAATAGGAATGGTTCACAAAGAGCCCGACTTTTCCTTTCGGATGAGGAAGTGAATTCCTGTTTGGCAAGGAATTGTGTGGTGCTATCAGCGCTGGGTTTTGGGAGCACAAAAGGAACTTTATAAAAAGGGCTGATTTGTTCACTCCATTCTTTCTTTGTCTTTCCCTGCTTTCCCATCCTCCCTGCCATTCCTGGAATCACTAACATGTTTTCCAAAGCGATCTCTTGAAGCTGTAGATACTGAATTGAGCTCTGTTATTAGCAGTGGGGAGGGCTTGTTCCAATTGCAGCCAGGCTTTACCAGGCAGCCCATGTCCACAGTAATTACGCCCTGGTTCTCCATGCTTGAGAACTTGCAGCTCAGGGCAGTAGTCCTGATCTTATCAGTGTTTTGTAGTACAACAGTTTTCTTTATAACGGCATCTGTTTCACTTCCTAAGGCTTAACTCTGCCCACAAAAGGAATTTCAGTGGATTCCCTGATAATCCTGAAATTGCTGCCCCTGTACCTTCTCATTGACTCCGTGCTTCCAGTTAACCCGGGGGAAGGGAGGGGGGCTTTCTTTTGCCCCTCTACATTTGGCCTAGCCCCTAAGTGGATATTTCAGCAGGTCTCTGGCCTGAAAGCAGCGTTGGGACTGCAGGTCTGCAGCAAGGGAGGTGCAGAATGACTTTCTATTGCATTCCGGGAGGTTTTTTCTTCTTTCCAGCAGGTTCTCTCTGGTTTAATTAACCTCGGTAGGCTAGCTGAGCTGTTCTACAAGCCTTGATATTCCATTTTTATCGAGCATGGTGGTTGGTGGTCCGTTTGAGAAGCAGCTGCCCTGCAGACTGGAGCTCAGGCTGCTGGCTTTCAAGGATTTTGTCCTGGAAAGAATGCAGTGGGCAAAGCAGGAGAGCGTTTGTTGCTCTCATTTCATCCACTCTCGCTTTGCAGGAAGGGGTTAACCCTGCCTTTTGAATGTGGGATTGGAAAGCAAAATTGCTCCGGACATCTGAGCTTCCCTCTAATAAGATATTCCAGGTGGTTGGGGAGTAATCCTAAAATAGCTGCAGATATAATTGCTTCTGAAGGGAGGGCTGCAGCTTGACTGGGAGCGCTGCGTGGCCCCAAGCCGGCTCTGGGTACAGGGTGCTCAGTGAGGACAGCAAGCTCAGGGCACCAGGGCTGCTCCTGCCACCCTTTCCTGCAAGAAACTCGGGATCAATCCTGCGTGCCGTGGCACAGCTGCAATGGAAGCGGCTGTTTGTCAAACATCAGCAAATTCCCTCCACGCAAAGCAGCGCAGGGAGAGGCAGGGCTGTCCCCAGAGAGCGACCTGCCTCTGGGAGCAGTGTTTTTTCCTTCCTGCTACCATTGCTTGACTCATACAAAGGTCTTTTAATGACTTGTGAGGATATATTGATTTCTCGTATTCCTGCTGCTCCTGCAGAGGAGGGCTGCTCACCGAAGGGCAACTTTGTTTTCTTAGGCAGAACAGAGCATGATACTAAAGCTTCCTCTGGGCTCTGTTGCTGCTGTGCAAAATGTGTTTGATGCTGCATCCCTTCCCATGGCTCTGGAGGGGCTGACACGCGTGGTTGTGCTCGAGTCTCTGTCCCAACCCCTGCTGATACTTGGGATCTTTGACTGTAACCTTGGCGCAGACCCACAGCTTTCGGCGTGCAGAGTCCTCAAGATGCAAGCTGAGGCTTGGGGAAGTGTCTGTCGGTGCTTAGGCCACTTTCTGAATAAATAGGGCTTTATTCCCTGGCTGCTGAGCTGACATTTTGTGCTGGCCCAATGCTTGGCTGCTCTGCCACCTCCTGCTGAAACCTGTCCTCACGTCCCCAGCCACCACGTGGGGGGCTTGGCAGCCAGGAGCCATGCGTGGAGAGGAGCAGAAGCATTTCTGGCCTGTAACAAAAGCAGCACAACACCAGGGAAAGTGTTTTTTTAACCTGTTTAACCCAGTGACAGCAGGGCTTCGCAGTGCTTCAGGTGGAGGAATTGGAGATATTTGTCCAAGGCTGCTGGAGAGGATGGGTGGGAAGGCAGCCGAGTTGTTTCCACGCTGATTGATACCAGGCTGGGTGAGAAGCACCCTCCTTATCTCTCCTGATGGCTTAACGTGGGGCAGCAACCTGCCTTCAAGCTGTCACAAGAGGAAGTGCTAATGCTGTCCTCCATGTCTCACCTCGCTTCACTCCGTGTCATGCCAGGTGACATCCATCTCAAGCAATTTTCTGGGCATATGGCAGAACATGGATGGCTTTGGCTGGCTTTAAGCTCCTTTCACTAGTTAGCTTGTGCTGAGCGTTAGTCTGTGCTCTCAAGCCCCTCACGGTGTGGGTGCAGAAGCTAGGGGGCATTTTGTGTATCAGCACATCACCTCGTGGCTTATTCTAATTACCTGTTCTCCAAAGCAAGCAAGCAAAATAGCTCCTCAAGTCTTGTCCTGTAGACGGTTCTGAAATCCTGCCAATCTCAAACCCACTGGTGGCAGGGAATCGTCTCCTTTAAGCACCTTTCCCTTCTCTGTCCCCATCCTAAATGTAGTGGAATAAGCTCTCAGTATGAGCTGATGGCCCAGTGCAAACAAGAGTTTGGCTTCTTGGAGCACCCCGTTTAGGGTTTAACACTACAGGTGTGTTTGCCCTCTGAACGTGTGCCCACGCCTGAGAAGAAAGCATCAGCCATCTAAAACCATTTTGTCTTAGACTCCGTGAAGCTGGGGATGCGCAGTGACTGCTGCCTGCTGAAGAAGCTGGTTTGTCTCTTCTTCTGTTACCGTGGGTTTGTTGGTCTGTGTTGAGGCAGTGGGGTTTCAGGAGCAGCTGGGTATCACCATAATTAGCAAAAAAACCTGATGGTTTTAATCTCTGCTAGCAAGGGGCACCCAGATGAATCCTCCCAGGAACAAAACCGGTCCTCAGATCTCTTCCTAGAGAGGGCTGGGAATTGATCTGCTGTAATAAACAGCTGACATAACAGAAGTGGCAATAATCCCCCATTAAATATCTTTCAGTTGATGGGACTCGCTGGATAATTGACTTTCCAGCAGGAATTACTGGCTCAAACTAAATCAGCAGGCATTAGGGCAGCTCACTGCAGTGTTTTCTGAAGGGGGAGATGTGGCTTTGCCTGGCCTTGACAAGAGCTATTCATCTTTCTAATTCGATGGACGTGTCACAGCCAGATGACTCCCTGCATTTCAGATATTGGGCCTCCCGTGCCATTTACCTGCATTTTTGTGCTGGAACCTCTGGCTTGTTCCACTTCAGGATGTGTATCAGGACAGAGGACAGGCTAAGCCACTCTGCTGGGTGGAATTGGCCATACTCTTCCCTGGAGGGGCTTTGGTGCACATGCTGTATGAAGTTTATTGTTTAAAGCTGCTTGTCCAGCTTTCAGGATCATGCTTACGTTCTCAGTCCTGCCGTATCGCCTGAGCCTTCTTCTGCTGGTCTCCTGCCCTGGCTGTGCTTTCAGGGTGATGATGAATTACCAGGCAGAACAAGCCTAACTAGAGTAATCCTTGTAATGCCTAAGAAGAATGAAGCTTCACCCAGCAAAGCTGGATCGCTGTTTCTGTGTGAAAAGTCCAAATTCAGTGGCCTCCAGAAGTAAGGGTGTGGGATGGGAAGAAGCCTTCCCACTGTTTTATTTCCCTGCTTCTCTTTGGCATGCTCAGCTTTTTGCTTTGTAGGCAAGCAAGTGGAGGCCAGAAGGGCATCTCTGAGCATAACAGGGGGCAGTTCTGTGACACCTGGCTGATAGAAAGGCAGGAGAGCCCTGTGTGAGCAGGGATAGCTGGCTAACACACTGCTGGTCTTTCACCAGAGGCTTTTAGGGTGTGCACTGGGTAAAAAGATGGATGTGGAGAGCCAAAGCAGTGCCTGTGTTTGGAGTTTGTTCAGCCTCTCTGTGGCAAAGCACCTGCCACTTTCCATGTCTCAGCCTTTACCTGCCTTCATGTAGGCTCATGCCCATAAATGCGCATTTGAAGGCTCTCTGGAGTTGTCCACAGTGCCTTTCCCGAGCTGCCCTTTCAGCCTTTCATTCCTTTTTCCCCCCAGAACGGCAATGTGACCTGGAGTGATGAAGGTGATGGATGTCGAGGAAGAGAAATTTCACGAGACTTTGCCAAGGTCAGTGTGATGGTGGGCATCTGGGGGAGGGACGGGGGGAATTCCTTCCCTGACCTGTGGCTACTGAGCCCTCCCTGTTGCTCAGAAAGCCTGCAGAGCTGGGCTGGTTTGCCTCTGGTCACTGGAATGTAGTTTGAGTTCAGCCTTTATAACTGCACTCCTAAAACTTCCAGTCTCAGTCAATGCTTTCTCTGGCTGGGGGAAGAGTGTTTTGTTTCTGGAGCCTGATTAGCACTGTGGTAATAGATCTGAATGTGGCAGCAATGTGTCACATCAGCTCGAGGAATTCATTTTGAACTGAGCTGGCTTTCTGAAAGGGTGCAGCTAATTGCTCTGCAAATACAGCAGTGTGTTTTCTTCCCAGAGCTCAGCTGTGAGAAAGCACAGTGCTTCTCAGGAAATGAACCCACGAAGCCCCTTTTTTGGGCTAGATGAGTACTGAGTAGCTAGCAGCGCTTACAGAGAAACTGAAATACATTTTTCCCCAGTGAATCTTTGCTCTTCTGTTGATCTGCTCCACAAAAGTAGCTACAACCAGCAAAAAAAAAAGTGCATGAAGTTATGCAAGCAAGAAGGAATTAAATGGTGTTTTTGTCTATGGCATTGTCCTCTGTCTTGTGTGATATCCTCTCAGCAGCACTGACCACAGCTTGTCACCCTGTGGCCTCAGAGGCCACGTGAGAGAACAGTAGGTTTTCTGTGCAGAGATGATGCTTGTAGCTGCCCCTTCTGAAAAAGCAGCAGGTAATACCAGCCTGCAGTGCCTCTCACGTGGAATAAGCTTCCTGAGGAGCTGAGGGAAGTGCTTGGGTTTCAAAGCCTTGGGTAAAATTATTTCTGCAGCAAAGTGGTGCCAGGCTGATTCTTCATACTGAGGCTTTCTGGCTTATTTCAGAGGAGCTTTTCATGCCAGGCATTAGTAGTTCCAGGAAAGCTTTCTCCTTCCTTGCCTGTGGTTGCCCCACAACAAACACCAGATGACCCGTTGGATGTTGTTGCTTTATCTGTCTCCTTGTGGATTGTGCCTCCATCTTTATTTCCCCCCAACAGCTTTATGAACTGGACAGTGACCCTGAACGGAAAGAGTTCCTGGATGACCTCTTCATCTTCATGCAGAAGAGGGGTGAGTGAGCTTTGGGGTGAACTCAATATGGTAAAACAGGGATTACTGCTGCACTTTGGATTCTTGCCTCCTGCATTTGAGAGAGAGCAAATCCAGCCCTTGAACCCGCAGATCAGATGGAAGGACGGGGGTAAGCCTTGAGATATTTACTTTGGAAGATGGTGAGCTCAGTAGGAAAGAATTCATCTGCCCTTTGATTTAATTTCACAGATGCTATTTCTCTTCCATCACTGCTACCTAATACCAAAGTGCCCCCAAAAGCCCGATTCGACAAGGGCTGAGTAGCACTGAGAGTTCTCTGATCTCCCCTTCAGAATAAGGGGCAGCACAGAATCAGGTGGCATTGTCACACATCTTCTCATGTTCTGCTTCAGCATGTGGAAGCCGAGGGTGAAGGCGTTCACACCCCATATAGAGCTCACAATCTGAGGCCTGGGAAGAAGGAAAAAAAGAAAGACAAAGCCAGGTTTTCCTTTAGCTTCACGACGTGTCAGTTTTCCATGTAGTAAAGCTGTGTAACTGAGTGCAGGAGCAAACTGTTCAAAGAAGTTCTCACATTCCTTCTGATGGTGTCAGCACCTTGCATCTCTCCTAGTCCCAGGATGGCAGTGCATGTGTGAAACAGCTCAGCTGAGCTGTCTTAAGTCTTCCTACCTTCTAGATAACGAAGTTTGGTTCCCTCATTACAAAGTATTCTTAATGGGAACACATAAAAATATGCTGCTGTATAAAACAAAGAGCCCATGGGGAAACACTCATCACCTGTGTCTGAATTTCTGGTAAATCCTTTACAGCGCTGTTTCCTTTACCTTTCCATATGTGCCAAGGCAATCAAACTCATCCAACCAGGATTTCTCCTGACACAAATTGTGACAGGGTCCGTTTTCCTGTCTCCAAAATGTTTGTGAGCTTGGGAGGTAAGTGTGAAGAGCGGGCAAAATGATTGTCTGATCACTGGCCTGGAGTCTTATTTCCAGTTGGCCTTCTGAAGCCTGCATCTTTGGTTGCATCCCCTTCTATGGGTGGCTGGAGCACAAGCAGAAGGGCTGTCCCAAGGGGAAATCCAGGCAAGTGCTCTTCATACCCACGTCCTCCTCTCCTGGCACAGCTGGAGCTGACAGCTGACCTTTCTGAATTTCCTTGTTCCAAAAAGCTCGTGGAGCTTTTGTTTCTGAGTCATTCAAAATTTGGAGTTGAGTTTTGGGGATGTTTTTGGCTTTCATGGGCACAGCCATTACCAGGCTTAATTAGCTTGCAAATGTGAACCTGAGCTCACGTATTAACGTAAAGGCTGGGATGGCTGACACACAAGACAATCTGAAGGGTATGACTGGCAGCAATGGAAACCACCAGATGCCCAGAGAGAAATCTGCTTAATACTTTAGTATCTCCTTCCTATTACCTTTCAATTATTTATAATTGACACCTTCCCACTGCAGGGGCTGAGCCTGTCACCAGCTGGCTGCTGGAGGAGTTGAGCTTTTAATCATCTGGGCATTTCCTAGTGTATTTGTTTTCTGGAAGCTCCCTTGTTTTCTCTCTTGTGAAGAGAGCTGGAAATGAAACATAAGAGCCCCACCACCCGTGGGGGAGAGGCAGAGTGAGCTGCCAGCTTTCTGCCAGGGGATGTGGAAATATTGCAGGGAGTGAGCCTGTATTCTGCTGCACTCAGAAATCCGGAGGCTTCTACAGCAAAGTTACCCCAAGGTGCTGTTCAGACTTTAATTTCTCTTCCCCTCCCTTTACGTGCCAAGCAAGCATCCTAAAACAAACCAGGCTGAACAGCTGCCTTGTTCTGAGAGTCCTCCAAAGTGGGTAATGCTGAGGCCTCATTGCACCCGAGAGAAAAGTGCTGTGTTTCTTAGCTCCTATGTGTGAAGAGCTGCTTTATTTGCACCTTGTGTCTGAAAGCAGCTCTGCTAATAAACACTGCTGGTGTAAAGATAGGGATTCTGTCATCCTCCAGAGGAGTGCCCCTTGTTTGGGGCTGATGGAAAAGGCCCCAAGGATTGCTAGCTGGTGCTGAACTGGAAGATAAATGGTAGATTTCAGGAGCTCCCGAGTAGCTGGAGGGATGAAAAGGTTTGGTTGTTGGTGCTGCTCTTTGGAATGTACCTAGAAAAAGCGAAGCCATGAAACAGGCTTAATGCAGATCAAATGTGCAGGTCTCATCTGCCTCTGAGCACAGCAGGTTGTCGCTGAATGACCACAGCTGCAAGTGATAAAATGGCCCTTCGGCAGCAATAATGATGGAAGAGGGAGATGAGAGGGGAGCTGTAACTCATCCTTTGTTGCTGTTGTGTGCCTTGTGTGTGCTGAGGTGCATGGGCCTCACCCTGCGTGGGACTGAAGGGGCAGAGGGGGTGAGGAGGTGCAGCTTTGTGGGATGAGGGGCTGCATCAGTGCCTCCACGTGCCTCTTCCTCAGCTCTTCTGCAGCCTCTCACTGAAGGCCAACTGTCCTCAGGAGTGGATAAGCAACTTCAGCAGTGGCTTCCCTCCCCCGTGGCTGCTCGCTTTACGACGAAATGAATCTGGAATGAATTGGTAAAGAGGGTTTTCAAGTTCTGACTCTGGAACGTGAGTACACAGCACCCCTCACAGTAATTCAGGGTGATCTTGTGTTCCCCAGCCTTCTCTGCTTAAGGTTGCTGGAAATAATGTGGCTCTCCAGGCTGGATGTGGCTCTGGGCAGCCTGGTCTGCTGGTTGGCAGCCCTGCACACAGCTGGGGGTTGGAACTACATGAGCATTGTGCTCCTTTTCAACCCAGGCCATTCTGTGATTCTACGATACTGAAATGCAGTGTGATATGAAACACGTTGTGAGTCTGTGTTTCCAGTGCAAAATCAGCTTTTCACACTTTGGGTGTGGGTGTCCTGGCACATAAAGCATACTTTTCCATTTCAGAGCCCTCTGAAAGAACAGCTGGGCTTTGTGCAGTAGGGGGTTGGGTAACATGTGCTCCAAACAGCCAGGTGGGCTGATGTGCTCAAGTCTGGCTGGAGTGAAAGGTGGAAAAGCAGTTGAAGGCTTTTCTTACCCCGTGAACGTGCCCCAGAGCTAATTTTTGGCTCTTCTCTGTCTTTGTGATAAAAGGTAAGATGAGGAGCAGAAAAACATAGATGACAACCCTGTGATACGTAGCAGGCTGCACTCTGTCCCCAGCTATTGAAGGGCTGCCAGTGGCAGGAGTCCTGCAGCAGTCACATATAGCTGAGCTGATCAGGAGGCAAGCAGAGCAGTGGGGCTTCATCCCCAGGACCATCGATGAGTGCTGCTCATGCAAGAAACTCCAGTCGAGGAAAGGTCTGGGGAAGGGACATGGCAGCTGCCCCGGTGTGCTAGGGAAGGCTGCCTTCCAAGGGAAGCTGTTTTGTTCATTTTTAAGCAGTGCCTTTGTGAGGAGCTCGTAAAACCTCTCTGATTGTACAGCTTGACCAGTTTTGTTCAAGGTTCCTGCATGACCTTGGTTTTCCCGGATGGCTTGGCCATTCTGTTGGGTGTTTTTTTTTATGTGGATATACATAGAAGGGGCTTTGTAAGTCCGACCGTGTGGTTTTAATGTTTTCCTGCTGTTGTATGCTGTCTGCACATTTGAGATGTGGAAATACAACAAATCCAGCCTATTGACAAAAGCATTTACTGATGGATTCTTTTATCTCTAGGCCAAGTGGAGTTTATGAAATGTTTGCCCAGGGAATACTCCTCGCTCCACTGGTTCAATTCTGCAGGCTGCTGCTTTTCATCCTCATTTTTTGAATCCAAATTAAGCAATGTAGTTCTGTAAATGAGACCTCAATAGACATCAATGCTCGGCGTCCTTTGTTCATGCTACCTGCTTAATGCTGAGCCACTGCAAACGCTTCCCTAAATAGCAGCTGATGCTCTGCAGTGGAAAATTCTCACTCGATGCACTGCACCAAACCCAGTGCAGCATCTTCTGCCTGAGCCATTCTTCTGCACTGCTCTGTTCTGAATCAACCAGGCAGGATTCTTCTTCGACTTGTGCGGGGCTAAATCTGTGCTGTACATCATTTAAAGGACCTTTTCTTCCTTGAGTTCTAGAGGGAACTGGTGTAAATTCTTCTGCAGCAGGTGGAAAACCTTTGCAAGGAACGCCTTGCTCATCAGCCTTAGGTGCCAGGTAACTAAAATCCTGCATAGAATCACCAAGGTTGGAAAAGGCTGCAAGATCATGCAGTCCAACCATCCACCTACCACCAGTATTTCCTCACTGAACCTCAGTACAGCATCTAAATGTTTCTTGAGCACCTCCAGAGATGGTGATTCCAGCACCTGCCTGGGCAGCCCTTTCTGGTGCCTGCCCACTCTTTTGGAGGATTGTTTCCTAATCCCAACCTGAGGGATCCGTGTCCTTCATGTTGGATCATGCAGAGGATCCTTGCATGGCTGTAACTGGGCTGTGAGCTCTTGACCCGTGACACATATAAGCTGTTTTGGGGGAGTTGACCTGAGCAAAATTTGGGATAACTTTAGGACTTGTAAATAAAGCTGCTTCTCATAAGAAGCAAATTCTCTTCTGTGTTTTATGTGCTAAGACATCCATCCTATTTGAAGTGACAGGCTGCTGTTGGTTGGCAAGACTCCTTCTGCAGCTTGTTAACCTGGTGCCAGCCTGCTGCAGCAGTGGCCCTCTGGGGATCTCCGAATCCCTGGCTGAACAGAACTGAAGGATAGAGCCAAAGGTGTTTCTCCTTCCCCTGAAGATTGAGATGTCAAACTGTAACACGTTTCTCCAGCATCTCAAAGACTGCATGTTTGTGTCTCAAATCCCAGACTCCCAGAGCTCGTCTATGCACTGGTACTTTATTCTGGGTGTTCCTGGCCTCCCCCTAAATCTGACAGCCTGCTTCTCCGGTGATTGATGAACTTGAGCAGTTGACCAGCAGAGGTGTTTCAGCTCACAAAAGATGACCGTGTGGATACCCAGCTGGATGGAAGGTGGGACTGCTCAGTGTGAAGATGCTCCGGTTTTTGACTTGTTGACCCAGTTCTGTTTTCCCCAGCTGCCCCCATTGTAACTCCTCTCTACCTGGAGAAGCTTGTCTGCTTGGTTCAAAGCCACCACCATGGCTGTGCAACATCTGGGGAAGAAATTTGTGATAGCAGATAGATTGGAGCCAGCTGTGCCAGTAGCAGCCGAGCTCAGCACAGGAGCACAAACCTCTGTGGGATCGCAGTTTTGGGATGGAGAAGTGGGGAAGGTTAATGTGGCCAGAGCCTTGGTGAATAGAACGGGGGCATGGGATGCCAGTTAGGCTGCTTCCAGTTCAGCAGCTGAAATCTGATAAGGGGCTGCTGTCAGCCTCACTTATTGAGGAGGGAAGCAGAAACTGATGGTGTTTCGAGGGGTGCAGATAAGAAGTGGGCCTCCTGTCAAATAGAACATGATTAATTACCCTCTATCCTGGCTCCCGCTTTGATAGCAGTGTCTAATGGTCTGCAGGCTTGCAGATCAGGTGGTGACATTCCCACTGGGAGGTGTGGATGCCCGCTGTGGAAATGCCATGAATAGGGGGGGAGAGATTAGATCGGCGTGGCACGGGCAGGGAGAGCTGGTTTCCCTTCTGTTTGCTCAGGGTCAGCCATCAGGATGGGCTCAAGGCAACAAATACAACTTTGAGGCAAAGGAGCTGGGGTGGCTGAAGAGGCAGCCTTTGTGTGGAACCAGCTTTGGTTCAGAATTTGGCTTATTGTAAGTCACTCTGGGAGGCTGGAAGTTGGAAGCAGCAGCTCTTTCCTTCCCTATGTGGGTTATTGCTTAAACATGGCCCTCTGTGCCTTATTCACTTCTTTGCTCCAAAATCCACTTCAGATGTTACTCTGCTGAATAATGATTTGAGTCTTGCCTCCTTTGTTCTTTACCTAAAAATGGACACGTTTGAAAGTACACTGGATAGGAAGGAAAAAAAAAAAAGGAGGAGGTGATTGAAAAAGTAGTGCTTCAGGCTGGCTGTAATTAACTGCTCTTTGTCTCTGCAGGACAAGTCATGGCTTAGGCTGCTTGATGGCGGGGAACTCCCTGCAGTGGGCATGTTCCTCAGTGGGAGAGAGGGGACTTACCTGCCGTCAGCCTGTTAGCATCATAGGATCACCAAGGTTGGAAAAGAACCTCTGAGACCATCCAGTGCAACCTGTCTTAGGTGACAGTTTCCTTTTAACATCACCTGTCTGTTCTGATGTCGGTATGAATCTGAAGCCTGGCAAACAGGATGCAGCCACCTTGAGCAAGGAGCTTGGGTAGGTGAGGAGTGCTTCAGTGCAGTGTGGAGGTCCTTCTAGATAAAAGGGAAGGCCAGTGCTGGGCTGTAGCTGTCAGCAGAACAGAGCAGGGCAACAGAGCTCACCCAGCTGACTGCTCAGCACCTCTTCTGCCAAAACATGTCAGAACAGTCCCTTGGAGATGATCCAGGGCTTGCATCTTCTGTCTCTTCCTAAAGAGCTTTTGGAAGGTGGAAATCAGGTTCCCCTTCAGCCTGTCGAGCATAGGAGACATAGGGGACATTCAAACCTATCCATGTACACCCTGTAGGCTTCTGCTATGTCTGCCTGAAACAGAGGCAGCTTTTGAAAGGGGTGAAACAGCTTGGCAGGAGGGGCTGCTTATTTCCCTTGAAGGACAGAGATGTTTATAGCTACAGTCAGGCTTCCTCCAGGGAAAGTCTTTCACTCCAGAAACCCAAATTGTAGTTACAGCTGTCTTTCCTTTCATCCTATGCGATGATTCCTCCTTCTCCTTCCAGTGTTGTGGTTGGGCATTTTGCCCTCTCCGTAGCCCTTTTGTGTTAGCAGAGCACTTGTCTGGAGGCAGCAGCCTCTTACCCTGGGGCTGTTTCCCACCTCCAGCAGCTCCAAGCCCAGCAGAGCAAGTACACCTGTCTTGGAGCTTCTCTTCTTGAGGTCTCCCATGCGCATCAGCTGCCCGTCAGCCCTTTTCCAGTGGGAGCACTCTGTCCCCTCCCACCCTCCTCCAGCTGATTCCTTCCAGGGCTGCCCCATGCTCCCGTGGCTGGGTCGTGCTTAAGGAAGAAAGCTTGTTTGCCAGGAGAACTGTGAGCAGAAGAGCTGGTCGTCATCCTCAGCCTCTTGTGGAGCTGGCTGTGCACCGCAGTGTGTGCAGCGCTGCTGAGAGCCGGCGGGATGGAGGGAAGCTGGAAAGTACAGTAAAATGAGTTTGCCATCAAAAGGCAACAAGTCTTATGCTGTGCCCCCGGCTGCTGACCTTTCCCTTTGGAATTCTCCCCTCTGACCTCCCGATCATTAATCCTGATGCTGCCAGATGACAGTAATCCATCATGGCCCCTGACAAGCCTCGCGGCCGCCTGTGAAAGGATCCGCTCGCCTTCAGCATCCCCTCGTCCCATGATACTTGTTTTTCAGCCTTTCCTGTCGGAGCACCGGGGGTTTCCAATAAAGACTTTATCGCCTCGCTCCTCCTCGGAGGGGGCTGTGGGAGGAGGGGGCTCTGCTGGCAGCTTTCGTGCTCAGATCCTATGAAACGTACCGAGTTGGTGAGGAGCGCCCTTAATTTGTCAAGTCTGAAATGCAAATGGCGCTGTGCTTGCTCGTCCCAGGCTGGGGGGTGATCCTCATCCTGAGGCAAAGCACAGGAGGAAGGTGGCTGTATCTGCGCAGAGCAGGGAAAGGATGGGAGTTCTTTCCCTCTGATTAAACCCCAGGGCACTTCAACCTGTGGGTCCTGTTGAAATGCAAACCTGAGGAAGGGAGCGTGCTATAGGGCTGGTAACGTGAGGCCTGGGGTGGCCTCTGCTTGCTGGTGGTGAGCAAGCTCTGCAAATACGTGTAAGCCTTTATTTCCACTGGATAATGTTTGTCTGTGTCACAGGAGCATTTGGATGCGTTTACTTGCGTATTTCCAGACGCTAAAGGATGAGGAGGTCCAGGAAAGAGTAAGGCTGTGTTTAGGATAAATATATTATTTTTAAAAGTAAATATTTCATCGTGCTTCTGTGTTAGCAGCTTGCTTGCTGGAGGAGCCTTCCATCTGACCCTTCTCTTTCGCTCCCCATCTGCTCACTGTCCAGGGAGAGAAGGATGAAAGTCCCTTCTGGAGCAGCCAATGCCATTCCCTACATGAGATAGGGTGGCTCTGAGTGGTGTGGGATTGCTGAGGTCTCAGCCCGGCAGTGCTGAGCCTTGTGCCCCCAGCCGTTTCTTGCTTGGGCAGAAACACTGAAGTGCTGACGGAGGGAGCCGTGGAGGTGGGCAGAACTATTTGCAGCTCTTTCTGCAGTCCTTCAAAGTAAACATTTCCCTGCTCTTGCCTTTGGGGTGGGCTGGGTGTGACCGGTTCCTGCGGCTCAGCTGATGAGTGATAACTTCAGGCTGGTAACATGATCGCTTCCAGCCCTCTACGTGTCTGCAGTGACACTGCTACCAGACTCTTAATCTTTCTTTTGACGCATGAAAGGAGACAAAATGGAGGCAGAGGGGAAGGCAAAGCAAAAGCGAGGATTGCATTCGCCCAGGCTGACGTTTTGTCCGGGCTGGATGGAGCCAGACTGCATCTAAACAACTGGGAAACGTCCTCCCTCCCCCAGGGAGCCGGGATTTGAAATGCAGGAAGAGGATCTGATGCAGTTTATGGATGTCAGCTTCGTGCACAGGGAGGGGATTGTTTAGACAGAAGGCAAATAAAAGAGGATGCAAGAGATGGGAAGCAAGGGAGCTCGCAGGCCAGCCTGGCCGGGTTGCTCTTTATGCTGTCTAGCGAAGTCAGTGCCTTAGTGAAATTGAGGGCTGCTCTTGAAAGCTGAAGAAGTTTCCTTTAATCCAGCATCTCGTTAACCTGTGGGAATCGTTGCCGTGAGCTGACGTGGAATAGGCTTCAAAAAGAAGAAAAAAATTGCACTTAGGTGTCTAATGAGGACATCTGCAGAGCTAGCTGAACTCCTTTTCACCAAACCGAATAAAACCCATTTATAAGGGCCATAAACTGCTCTGCTCCGGGGCGTTATCCCACTGCTGGCTGATGAGCAGTGGCAAAAGCCTCCCCTGTGGGTTGGGCATCCCATAATTGTCCATTGCGGCGCTGCCGCTGGCCGTTGCGGTAGCAGGATGCTGACCTCGGGGTGGGCTGCTCTTTGATCCACGACGGTGTTTCCTACGCAGAGGAAGAAGGTTGCTACATCAGCATTTCTCCCTCTTCCTCTCCTTGCCGAAATCTCCTCGCTGCGGCCTCTGCAGACCCTCCACGCTTTGTGGCCTTCAGGTGCAGCTGTGAGGGTCGCAGCAGCGGGCTTTCGGTCGATAGACATGAGCACGCTGCTCCATAGCACTGCCTGCATCACTGCCGTGCAACAAGTAGGGCTCCCACAGCTGGGCTGCGTTGGCTGCTGCAGGACACACGTCCCAGAGCTGCTGCAGGGACAGGGAGCAGAACTTGCAGCAAAACGCTGCACGCTTGTGAGGGAGGATGGGGAAACGCGTGCTGGGTGTCACGTACCCTTTCCTATTGCTCTGCCCGGGCACACAGCACGTACTGGGGCTGGGGGAGCAGAATCCCAGTGCATGAGCAGCTCGAGCTGCCTGCAGGCTCAGCCCCTTCCTGAGCACCAGCTCTACAGATTTGATCGGAGATAGCTCTGGGAGCTCGTAACAAACGATTCCTCTGGGCTGCTCCCTCGCCACTAGGGTTGAATGGTCCCTGCTTCCCCTCTTCTATTTTAGAAGCTGCTCTTAGCTGCAGGTTATTATTTGTCTGTTAATTGCTTTTGCCTACAGGAAAGGATTTTTCATGAGAAGGACGTGCTGTGGAGCTACACTTCTCTGGCTCATTTACTCACCCATAGAGAGGCCTCGAGTCTGGAGGAGAAAGTCCTCGAGTCTGGAAAGAAGATCAATAGCCCCGACCTGCCGGGCTTCTCAGCCTCATTTTCTCTCTCACTCCTTGTTTTCTTCCCTGCAGGAACTCCCATCAACAGGATCCCCATCATGGCGAAGCAGATCCTGGATCTCTACATGCTCTACAAACTGGTGACCGAGAAGGGAGGGCTGGTGGAAATCATCAATAAGAAGATCTGGAGGGAGATCACCAAAGGCCTTAATCTGCCCACCTCCATCACCAGTGCCGCGTTCACACTTCGAACCCAGTAAGTCTGGAGGGTCTGACAGCAGAGAGGTCAGAGCAGGAGCTGGGCAGTGCAAAATGGGAGCTGAGCTTGCTCTGTCTCACTCAGCACAGGGAGCAGGGGGAGGGGACTGCTGGAGAGCTCTTACCTCTTGGTTATTGTTATTCTTAGTTATTAGTTGAGTCCTAAAGAGGGAAGCTGCTTGCTGTTTCTATAGCCTTTGATACACACAGTGTTCCCTGCAAATTTGCCTGCTGGATTGCAGCAAAAGTTGTGAGGTTTGGTGCTGCCCTGTACCGACTTGGACAAAATAACCCTCACGTCATCCCACCTTGCATGTAAGCGTTATGATGCGAGCCCTAACTTATCATTTGACATGTTATGTCAGTTGTAAAGGCTTTGGGGATGATTTTTTCTGCCTCTGGATGTTGCAGTACGTAACTACGTGCTTCCAAGGTCAAGTGGAAGCTGTGAGAGCTTCAGGCCCCAACTACATATTGCTTATCACAGCAAGCACTGCAGATGAAGACTCCACATCTGCACAGCACCTTCATCCCAAAGTCTTCCTGCGTGCTGCGTGCTGTCCTTTTGTGGTCTGGTGAGAAACCTGCTTGACCTTCACTGTGCTCACCTCTCTCCCAGGTATATGAAGTACCTGTATGCCTACGAATGTGAGAAGAAATCCCTCAGTTCTCCTGCTGAGCTTCAGGCCGCGATCGATGGCAACAGGCGGGAAGGCAGAAGGCCCAGCTACAGCTCCTCTTTGTTCAGCTACTCACCCACAGCCTCGGGGCCTCCTTCCCTCCTGTCTCCCCCAAAGATCCGCTTCCCCATCATCAGCGTCGCGCCGGGCAGCGGGACCAGCAATGCTCGGGTGTCTCCAGCAGCAGCTGTAAGAAAAGGTCAGCTGGGGGAGAGGTGCAGCAGCAGAACCGGGCAGCCCGGTCTGGTGGTTGGTGACCCACGGAAGGGGGTTGGATGATCCTTGAGGTCCTTTTTAACCCAGGCCTGCGGATGAGTCTTGGTGTATTTGCTTTAGGATCCAAGTGACTCTTTGCTCTCCTAGGTGACGGTGTGCCCTTGACCGTGTCGATGCCAAATCGTATTGCTGTGCCAGTGACCTTGGCTAGCCAGCAGGCCACGGTGGCAGCAAGAACAGCCACCCTGGAGCAGCTGCGGGAGAGGCTGGAGGCTGGGGAGCCACCAGAGAAGAAAGTCTCCCGGATGACAGAGGAGGAGCAGCGGCTGGTCCAGCAGGCTCTGCAGCGCAACCTCTTCAGCATGGCGCGGCAGATCCCCATGAAGATCAAAATCAATGGCAAGGGTAAGACGTGCCTCCGGCTGCGCCTTGAGCTGTGAGGAGCTGCCAGGCTCAGCTGGTGTCCTCAGCAGCTCTCTGCTGCATGCTTGAAGCCTGTTTCTTCGTTCCAGCGGGTCAGCTGAAATGGCACAGCTGTGTTCAATGCCTCCTGTGCACTTTGGAGCATGGCGTGCTTTGCTCTGGCCCTTGTGAGATGACTGGTTGGGAAGCCGTGCCCTGTGCCAGACGCTCAGCGTGCTTTCCCCAGCCCTACCCTCATCTCAGCCCCATGTGCCTTTTAACTGATCCCAGAGGTGACAGCTTTTTCAGTGCAGGTGGCAGCGATGCCCAGCTTTTAGGAACCCCATTGGCAGGTGTGATGAGGAGGCCACAAAGCCCTGCGTATCTGCAGGGGCCCCTACGCTTTTAGCGAGTCAGGTGATTTCTGCCCACATCTGCTGCAGCTCCTCTCGCAGCCTGCAGGCAAAGAACTCCTGGCAAGGCTGGGTTAGGAGGTCAGATATAAGCAGCATTCATGGCCTGGGAAATGCACTCCTGAAATGCTTTGTGAAAGGGGAGTCACCCTGTAAAGGTCACGTTGTCGGGATCAATACTGTTACAGAGTGTCTTCAAAAGCTCATTAAACGCTATGGCTGCCTTACCTGTCCTGGGGGCTGCACTTCACTGGGCAGCAAAGCCTCAGAAGATTTCAGTTCCAGCAGCTGTTTCATCTGAACCTTTTGATCCATTCAAATTAAAGGTCTGGGGCCCCTATGAATTGTACGGTGAGATGAAGGCGCAAGGCCAGGCACGTTGGGCAGTGCACAGGAGAGGAGGGGAAGTGGTTCTGGAGGCCCTCGCTAGCAATGCTTCGTGGAGACACTTTGCCACAGTTAGATGTGGCCAGGGGTCAAAGCAGGTTCCCCTCTGGCAGTAGCAGCTAGCTGTGGGATTCAGTCTTTGCACTGCAGGTGGTGACAGCTGTGCATCCACCTAAACTTCACATCTACATTTCTAAAAAGCGAGCAAAGAGGAATATACAGGTTTGATGGAGTAATAGGCGTTCCCTCATCTCACTGTTCTGTTTTTCACTTCACCCCGGGCTTCCTAAATCCAAATGCTAGGAAGAAGCAGAGGCTGAGGGCTGAGCCCTAAGCAGGATTCATTGGTACCATTGCCACCTTTGTTACGTGACTGTGTGCAGGTCTTTCGTGCCCTCGTTTTCTGTGCTCTGTAAAGTGCTTTGACTGGCACTTTTGGAAGGCACTCTGTGAGCTTATTAGAGCTTGATAGCAACATTTAGGTTAAATGTTAGCAGTGCCCTTCGCATGCCTCCCAGGGACAGTCCCAGCAGACTGGAAATGAGCATAAGGTCTGTTGTGTGCGGTGCCAGAGGCTGGGCAGACTGTCTCCGTGGTCTCCCTCTGTTTTAACAGCACAATGTCCCCAAAACCAACACAGGCTGGGCTGGTAACCATGGCACAGCTGTGCAAACTGTAAGGCTGAATTTGTGAGAGCAGAGAAGCAGTTCCAGGCTCACAGTTCCAGGCTGGTTTAGTTGGAGGCTTCAGAAGCATCCAGGAGGGCGTAATGTTCATCTCTCCTTTAACATCAGAACAAACCAGCCTCCCACTACGGCTTAGAAAGGGCCCTCGGTGCAGAGGGGACAGAAGAAAAACAAAAAGGGATTTCACACGCCCTTAGGGACAGCCAGGAAGGCTCCGTTTGGATGCTTTGGGAAGCTCCTCTCCCTCCTGTGGCCGCTGGAGCAGCTGCAGCCTGAGCCCTGCACACCGTAAGGAACTGCAGCTCCCTGAGAATCCCCACCCTGGTGAAGGGGCCCAGAACAAGAGCTGGGTACGTGGCTGCAGCCCAGCCACCTTGAGCGTATGCACAGACTGCTCTTCCTATGTGGGGATTGTTAATTGAGCCCGAGAGATGGGCAGGCAGCAATGGGATCGTTAACAATTGGACACCTGTGTGAGCATCACGTGGGGTTTCCTCATCAGAGAGACAGCAGGAGGAGCTGCGCACCTTCGGTGGGCTCCAGAAACGGGACGTTGCCCTCGTTGCTCTCTAACTCTGTGTTCCTTCTCTCAAAAGAAGACAAACCCGACTCGGCGGCGGCGGCGGCGCTGAATTTGTCACCTAACGGCATTGGGAGCATTAACATGTCGGTGGAGATCAACGGCACGATCTATGCTGGTGAGAAGGGGCTGCTCCTCGGGGGGTGGGAGTGCCCAGCAGGGTGTGGGGAGGGTGGCACGCTCCTGGGGATACTCATTTTCCAGCTACTCATTTTCCTGCTGTAATTTCAGCAGGAGATGAGTTTTTCTCACTTTTTGGTAGGCAAAATTAATGCCCTTTCTGTTCAGTGGTGGGGTTTCTCCATTCAGAAACCCTCTGGAGTGCTGGTTTTTGGTGATTTCGTGTTTGTGCAGGGGCTGTCGCTGTAATGTCATCCACTTTCTGCTGTGATCTGTCTGCTCTTGAGCAGTCCCCAAGCAGCGTTTTGCTGACAGCTCACAAGTGGCCTTTTGGTGCGGCAGAGAAGTGAGGATGTGGTGAGAAATTGGGTATTAGGAGGAAGTTTTTGAGCCAGAGGGTGGTGAGGCACTGGAACAGGCTGCCCAAGGAGGCTGTGGATGCCCCAGCCCTGCATTCAAGGCCAGGCTGGATGTGGCTCTGGGCAGCCTGGGCTGCTGGTTGGTGACCTGCACACAGCAGGAGGTTGGAAGTAGGTGATCATTGTGCTCCTTTTCAACCCAGGCCATTCTTTCTTTGTGTCTATGATTCTGTAAGTCCAACTTGTACATGGGAAGGACTTTGTATTCAGTGCTGGCAGGAAGGACTGTTAGCCTCCTCCTGCTCTTGAGGAGAGTTTTAACCCAGCTTTTATTTCCACGTCATCACTGACGCTCTGATCTGCTTCCAAGCCCGCTGGCCTCGTACTATAAGGACAAAGCCTTTGGGGCTGCATCAGCCACCCTTTGCTGCATCCCCCCCACATCCCCCTAACTCTTCCCTTACCTCTGTGCCTCACAGGCGTGCTCTTTGCCCAGAAGCCAGTCGTCCATCTCCTCGCAGGCTCGCAGAGCTCCTGCAGCAGCAGCAGCAGCTCGCACTGCTCCGCCAGCCCTACCTCATCGCGGGGAACCCCCAGCGCAGAGCCCTCCACTAGCTGGTCTCTCTGATGGACGGCCGAGCTTGCTGTCTCACACTGGCCTCCGGCAGCTCTTCCTCTCTGCTCGCAGCGGGGAGCGAGCCGGGAAGGAGTCGCACAGATTACCTCATCTCAAGGAACCTGCTTCGTGGTTGGCCGACGGCAAGATGATGATGATGATGATGATGATGATGATGCTGAAACCTTTCCATGCCAGCGAGTTTTTTCTTCATCGCCTGTTTGTCCGGCCTTTTTCTTTGTTCTCTCCTTTCTTCCTCCCTTTCACTTCTGTTTCCTTCCTCCTCCTCCTCCTCCCAGGGTTTGCTGTGTTCCTCTTGGGGGGTGGCACGCAGAGAGGGGGGGCACACCTGGCGTTCTTCAATCAGGGATTGGCGGGCGGAGAGATGGCTGAGACGTCACCAAGGCAGGTGGGAAGAGCTGGCATCGGGGCAGGGGAACGGGCTTCTCCTCGAGCCGCAGCACGGCTCAGTTTGTTGACAATCGGAACAGCCGGCAGGCTGCCTCGCTCCTCTCCTCCCATGGCTTCTGCCAGGAGAGCCTCCTCGCTTCTCTTCCTCAGGCTCTGTCACGCTCCAGTGCTCGTCTGTCCTCCCCTCGGGCCACGCAGCCCTCGCTCGTGGAGCCCCAGAGGTGCGATGAGCCTCCTTCCCCTCTCTCTGAGGTCTGCCTGGGAAGGACGTTCTCACCGCTGCGCTTGGCCCGTAGACAGAAAAATCCCTCTCCATCAGCTGCTTCGTCCTGCTGGCCTCTGCTGGCCAGTTCCCTACTGTTGTTGCCTTCTTCAGGCTTTCAGCCAATTTTTAAACACCCTCAGCCTCGTCTGTTTCTCCTTAGGGAATTCATCCTACTGACGTTTCCCCCGAACCTTGCCTTTGTTTGGCTCCGATTCTTTGCTCCCCTGGACACAAACAGCTTGATCTGGACTTGCTGGAGCGGCTTCTCTTCGGAGGGTGCTCTCCACATCCCCCTTCAAATTGCACGTGAGCAGAAAGAAAACCAATCTCCGTCAGCCAAGATGCTCTCCTGTGGGGAAGCAGAGGAAAGAGAATCAAACCTTTCCTCACCCTCTCCCTTCCAACCCATGTAAAGCAAGCAGAGGCTGCCCACGAGCTGCTGCCCAGGCGGCCTCGCTCTGCCCCATGCATTCCCCAGCCCGCAGACCAGACCCGAGCACCATCCCTCCTGCCCTGGTGACGTCCTTTCCATCCTTCAGGCCCCAGTCAGGTTTTTTGAGCAGATGAAATACCTCAGATATGTACTTATTGTTGGGGGGTGTTTTTGTTTGTTTGTTTGTTTGTTTGTTTTCGGGTTGTTTTTTAACCTCTTCAGGAAGTGTTGGCATATCTTATTGCTTGGTTTGTTGTTTTGTTGTTTCGTTTGTTTTTTTTAATATGTGGTTTTGCTGACATTGTGTTTATTTTTTATTTTTGATCGTAGCACCAAAGACAGAAAAATCAGAGCAAAGGAGCAGTGGCTTCCCCATCCTTTAGGCTAGCAAGGAGACAGCTCTGTGTCAGGACACGCGCATAGCACAGGCCAGGTAGAGGTAGGAAAGGAGGGCACAACTGACAGCTGAGTTGGGGATTCTGTCCTTCACCTTGGACACAAGGCTGCCTCCAGAGTCCCTGTTTCCCTTCTCGGTATTCCGTGTAGCAAAGCTGCTTGGTGCAGCTGGGGGACGAAGCCCTGCTTACACTACAGACGTACCCAAAACCTGCTGCAGCAAAATGCTTTCTGACACTTCAGTCTTTGGTGGCTGCAGAGCGGCAGCCCGCTGGCAGCAGAGATGGGTGCCACCTCGGCTTTCCTTGCCCCCAGCCTGCAGCTCAGGTGACAGGGCTGCCCTCAGCCCTTGCGTAAACCCCCCACGTGCAGCAGAGCCCAGCTCCCTGCAGTCGGGTTGTGACTCAGGTCAGCTGGCTGCCAGCCCTGGGGAGGACAGGGAGGCAGGGAGTGCTGGGAGCTGTGTGCTGGGATTGGTTCTGCTCCTGGTGGCTCTCGGTGGCAGCAGTGCACTGGGGAAGCAGAGCTGCTCCCACTCGCCTGGCAGACCCACAGACCTCCAAAGCATTTCACTGTCTCTACTCAGAGAGGATTTACCACACTGATTTACTCAGATTGTTCTTTCCCCCCCCCCCCCCCCCTTTTTTTTTCATTTCAGTTCTTTTTTCTTTTTGTTTTTCTTTTTTTTTTTTTGGAGATGGGGGTGGGTTTGGGGGCTGTTTCCTAAGAGTGGGACTGGGGGACTTTTTTCTTTTCCTTGTGCTTTCTTCTCTGGTCCTGGGGAGCAGAGGTTAGTAATGGGTGTTTTTGCTTATGTATCACATGCTAACGTTGTGTTCTCTTGCACAGAAAGGCACTCGAATCACTGAACTGCTAAACAGCTTCGACACTACTAGAGTATTAATGTTTATAAGCTTTACACAACTAGACTGGAACCAGACAGGGACTAACAGATTGTTTTGTATCCAATTCAGGGAAAGAAACAAGTCGGGATGCGTAACAGATACCTCAGTAAAATAAGCTGCAACAATACCCCGGTCCCTCATCGTGGGGACCGGCCGTTCAGACTGTGAAGAGTAACCCTTCCCCAGGCCTGGCTTTGATGCTGGCACTCGGCTTCTCGCAGTGTCCGGGTCACCTACTGAGCTGCCGGGTGCTGGTGGGGATGGGGTTGTAGAAACCAGCAGCAGAGGGAGGGCGGAGGAGCGGGGCGGGCTGGGCGAGCCCCCGGCTCCCATTCATTTCACTCAGCGCGTTGGATTGTAGAGTACTCAGGGTTTTGGTACTGCGGGTAGGACTGTTCCTCGGGTGAAGCGTTCCGCTTTGCAGTGCGTCTAATTTCTCTTCCAACTCCAGACCAGCGAAAGTTTCACAGCGAGCAGCCAAAAAAAAGAATAATAAGGATGAGAAGCCTGCGGCTGCTCGGCGCGGCCGTGGGATGGGAGTGCTGCCCCACATCCCAGCTCCGGGCTGGCACAGCAGTGGGACGCGGCGCTCTGGAGGGATTCGGGTCAGAATGTTCTCACCAAACAACGGCAGCAGCCTTGCTACTCGTTTTCTTACCTATTTAAAGTAAAAATAAGTAAATAAAAAAAAAGAAATGTGATAGCCTAGGCGGTGGATAAATACCTCAACGTCTCCTTCCAACAAGTGTCTGTATATGTTGTTGTTGGGTTTTTTCTATCTTACACGTTATCTGAATGTTTATATTCCAATAAACTTCTACCTCTTCACGGTGACCCAACAGCCTCTTTGGGGGCAGCGCTGGTTGGCGGGGGAGGGTGGGGGGAATCAGCTCCTGGGGTGGGTGGGCCGTGCTGGGCGAGCCAAGGGGGGGCTGGAGACCCGCGGGGGGGTTCGCCCCAGAGATTGCATCTTGGAAGAGGTCCTCAGCCCTGTGCTCGGCGGCCTCCCGCAGTGGTCAGCGGCTATAAAGCGGGCTTAGAGAGGCCTCCAAGGGAGGAGGATGCTGTCACCACCCTGCCCGAGTCGTTTCGGTCGGCGCATCCTCGAGGCGAGGAGCTGGGAAGGACGCTTCTCCCCGCGGCGCGCAAGGGGTTAATCTCCGGGCCACAGAGAGGGACGGCTAGAGCGGCGTCCAGGGGGGCGGGGCAAGCGGCGGAAGCGGAAGTGGGGGCAGAGCGGGAGTGGAGGCGCTGCTGGGCCGGGCCGGACCGGGCCGGGCCGCACCCTCCGAACGCAGAGGGGCCGAGGGGCGGTGAGCGGCGCGACGCGTCCGGGGGCGGTTTAACGGCTCCGTGGGGCGTTCAACGGCGCTCGGGGGGGCGGACCGAACCCCGCAGGGGAGGTCGGAGGGCTCCGAGGGGCGGGTTAACGGGACACGGGGGCGGTCTGACGGCTGAGGGGGGCGGCGGGCCGCGGCGGGAGCTGAGCGCGCTCCTCGTGTCCGCAGATGCATCACTGCAAGAGGTACCGCTCCCCGGAGCAGGAGCCGTGCTGGGGGCCGCGCTGGAAGAGGAGGCGCTCCCGGAGCAGGGCCTACGAGGGCCGTCCGCGCTGCCAGCCCCGCAGGGAGCTGCCCAGGAGGTCGCGATCCAGGAGGTGAGGGCGGCGGGGAGCGGGGGGCTGCGGCCGCAGTGCAAGTACGGCGAGACCCGGCGGTACTGGCAGCACTGGCGTTGCGTCCCTCTGTCAACCATCTCCTGAAATGATCGCAGCTCAAAGCAATGTTTTACTGCCCCTGCCCTGCCCGAATAATTCCGAGCACCCGGGCAACACGAACCGGTGTTCTCTGTGCCATCAGTGAATTGCAGAATGTCCTGGGTTGGGTCACCGAGTTCAGCTCCAAACAGATGAAAGGCCAGTTTAGCTCCAAGGAAGAAAAACCCAAGAGAAAACCTTTAGGCCCCTCTGTCTACAGGCTCTGAGCCTCGCATGGGTTCGCTCATACAGGTTCCTTTGGGTCGGTGTTGCTGAGCCCTGAGGTTTCACAGAGGCACAGTTGGAGCTTTTGGAGGGGTTTGGGATAGCGTGAGCTGAGGCGGCCGCTGTCCTGGCAGGGAGGGCGATGTTTTGTCCTCGTTCTGAGATGGAGTGAGCCAGCGCAGGTGTGCGGGGAATATGGAGACGTGGCGCTTGGGGATGTGTGTTGTGGTGTGGTGGGGGTGGGCTGACAGATTTGCTGACCTCAGAGGTGTTTTCCAATCGTAATGATCCTGACTCTGCATTTATCCTCATTCTCTTAAGCTGCCAGCGAGAAAGTCAGTTGCTGCCAAAACAGAGGGGAAACAAAGACAGGTTTCTGCTTGCAGAGCAGTGTTGCTGTAGGGTGGTCTTGGCTGCAGCAGTGATCGTTCCTTGCTGTCAGCTGGGCATGAGAGATGGCAGCAGCCTGGCCGGATGCGTGCCCAAAACGCTGCTGCTGAGCACATTCGTGTTTATCGTTGCCCATATGCTGTGATTTCTCTGAGCAGCAGCATCCACCTAAAAGATGGTTTGGCATGCGCATGAAGCAGGGCTTGAGTGGAAGCTGCTTGATTAGAGCAGCTGGGATGCAGAAGGCAGCTGTGCCGCTGGATTGCAAGCAGCCTGAAGCCCCCCCTTATGTATCTGCAGCCGTTGGCTGTGGCTAGAGGCAGGTGTAGCTGTAGAGCAGAGACCAAACATTCCTTGTGGCTCTTGCTGATGAATGATGGCTGTGCCCTGTGCACGGCTTGGTGCGTGGGGGGCTCTCACCCCGCCGGGGCAGGACGGTACTTGTGATGCTTTTCCAGACTGACAACACGTTGTTTGCGCTGCAGCCATGACAGGATGCCTTATCACAGGAGATACAGAGACCGACGGGACAGTGACGCCTACAGATGGGAAGAGCGGAGCCCGTCCTTCGACGAGGATTATTCCTCCACCCGCACACGGACCTGGCGGCGATCCCGCGACAGAGAGCAGCACCGTGACAGGAAGCACCAACACCACTGCAGGAAACGCAGGACCAGGTCTTGTAGCAGTGCCTCCTCGGTGAGTAGCATCCAGAACGAGCTCGGGATTGGTCAGGCGTTAACCATTCTTACCTCCTTCTAGCTCTGAACGCTCTGGGTGAGTACCTCTCATCTCGTTCTTGTGTTTGTTTTGATTACGTGCAGTCTGTGGTCCCTAGAATGTGTCTTGTTAAGCACTCGTAGCTCTCGGTTTTTCCTAGCTCAGCCCCTGTAGCTTTAATACGTGAGGACACTAAGCTGTGCTCTCCACGGCCAGGGGAGGGGATGAGTGAAGGCTTCAAATGGCGCACACGTGACGCTCTTCACAGATGAGCCCTGGCTCCAGGCCAGCTGGGCTGCTGGTTGTGTGGGTTTATAGGCAGCAGAGGCCTCACTTCTGCGTATCCGTGCTTCTCTGAGGGGATTTGGTATGCAGCGGTGGTACGGAGTGCTCCGTGAGGGCAGTGTTGCTTTGGGTTTGGGCCAGCATCCCGCACCGAATGGGGTCAGCCAGCTGGATGGAGCCTTGTTCTTCTGAGCCATCAGCCCTTGGTATTAACTCCTGTCCCACCGTGCTTAGCAGGGCCCTGCACCCTTTGAGAATACCCGTGTCCTCTTTGCCTGGTTCCACACAGCTCTCCTCACACCTCCTTTCTTTGAAAACGCCGTTTTCCACCCTGATTCTAAGGGCACGGGGTGTTCCTTCCCAAGAGGTTTTGAGGATTAGACAGAATGATTTGGCACGGGGCAGGGAGGATTGTCTCCTGAATGCCCTGGAAGTGCTGTGAAGTATCAGACTCTGTGTATGCCTCACTTCTCTCCAGTAAGGAAAGTTTCTATCGTGCACGTTTGTTGCTTTTACCTGTGATTACAATTAAGTGACCGAGCCCTGATCCCTGCAGCTACAGTGGATATCTGCATGGCTTGGAACTTCTGACGGTCTGTTGCTTTCCTCCTTTCACTCCTTTCCCACTGACTTTTTAATTTTTGCCTTAGAAAGAGCCAGGGCTGTGACTAAAATGTTACAGTGTGGTTTGTGTGCGGTGATCCAGTGTGCAGGTTTGGGTTGGTGTGATCTGAATTCTTTGAAGACTCACAGCTCTCTCAACTGTCCTCTCTCCTCTCTACCTCCTTCTCTGTTTCAGCTTACCTCTGGGGGTCTGTAGCTTCCCATTTTGGACTGGGCGTGGGGCGAGGGGTACAGAAGACGCCTGATAGAAGTCCAGGCGTGGAAACGTAGAGCTTTGTTTCCATTTTTAAGGCTAAATGGAAAAGATCAGGAATTAGGACAGCTCTCTTTGGACCTGGTCCTTCTGGGAATGTTTGGCTGGTTGTCCAGTAGAAGCGAGCAGTAACAGGAGTAAACATGACCTTGTACCTGTAGTGGACACCTGGAGTGAAACACTCCCCGGGGATTCAGTTGACCTGTTCCTAAAGGTCTTCCAGGCTTAAAATTACACCCTGAGGACAAAGAGCAATGCTAGATCTGCTTGCAGCCAGTCAGGCGTAGAGATGGAGGCTCAACCCCGTTGATTCTGTCGAGAAGTGGCAGGATGCACTAGGGAGCTGGCGACCTGATAGCCAAGCTATGAGAGAGCAGGCTGTGTGGGGGACAACTGCTACTCTGGCTTCTACTGGACAGCCCGTCCAGCTCCTTTCCCCTTCGTCATGTTTGCCAGCGGAGAAAAATGACATTCTTCTGGCAAAGCCCTCTTCCTCCTTGTGCCTCTGGGGCCTCCTCTGGTGCTCCTGAGGATGTTGCTCCTCTGTGCAGACCCTGGGGGAGCGGTGGTGCCGAGCCAGTGCCTGGAGCTCCCCAGTTGCTGCCCCGCAGAGAAGAGGGGGGCTGTCCCTGCTCAGAGCAGTGGCACCAGCCGCTGCAGCTAACGAGGGTTTTCTTTACATACCTGTAGCTGTTGATTACTTTTCTGTTTTGAAGTTAGTTTGTGTCTTGACGTGTCCCTTGCAATATCCCTATCGTTATATATGCTGTGTGCCTTATGAAATGCTGGGATCTGGAAAATCCAACCACCGACGCTCCGCCGTCTCCACCTTTGAATGACAACCCAATCTGCCACTCGGAACTGCCCGCTGTGCGCACTCGGTCGTATGCCGTTTCGGGGGGCGGTGCGTACAGAGAAGCCAACAGAGCAGTAAGCGCAGCAGGAGCGTGGAAGATGACAAGGAAGGCCACCTGGTGTGCAGGATCGGCGATTGGCTTCAAGAGCGATGTACAGCCACCTTTCGTAAAACTTTACCTCTACTTTCTATCCCCGTGTTAGACGAGATCTCTCGTATTGTACTGGAGGGGTCTCCTAGCGTTTATTGCTTATAAATGGACTGAGCAGTAAATTGCCTGAGGCAGACAATAGTCACTCGAGTTTTAAAGAGCGTAGCGGTGAGAGACGTTTTTGTTTTGATGCTTTGTTGCTGTGAATTGCAGGAGCTCAGCTCTCGCCGCTCCACTCAAGTTCACATCTGCTCCTGTTTTCTCTCCTAGACGAAATTGTCGGCAGCCTTGGCGAAGGCACTTTTGGCAAAGTTGTGGAGTGTGTCGACCACGCCAGGTAGGTGGCTGTCACTTCCAAACACCTCGGCTGTCCGTCGTGCTGCAAACCCAGAGGCTCGTGAGGGTGGCAAGGTTTGTGCTGCCGCTGCAATGCACTATTCAGCAGCTGAGAGCTTCAGCACAGGGCTGCTCTACTGCCCTACTGTAAAAGCAGGGAACTCCAGGGCTGGGCTAGCCAGATGGGAAAGCAGCCTCTTAATCTGCCACAGCGCTTCTTTTTTCGTCCTCT